AGAAATTTCATCCACTTCTTCCTTTTAGTGTTCAGCTTTATACTGATTTCAACCACCCCACCACCCTTCGAAAGAAATTTCATTCACTTCTTCCTATTACTGTTTAGCTTTTTAGTGACTTCAACCACCTCACCACCCGTCGGAAGAAATTTCCTCCACTTTTTGGACACGTAGTGGACATAGCGATCGTTTCAATATTATGTTGTTGTTCTTGTTCTTTGACACGTTTTTAAAAAGTCGCTTTTCTCTTTGATTACTGTACCAATTGCTTTGAAATTTTCAGTGGTGAAAGATAAAAATTTTCTTCAGAAGCCTTTACTCTTTTTTTGCTATGACGTCGTCAAAATTATTGCCATTAGGTAGCGCTACGTGTCCATAATATATTTGATCATAACTCTCTTGTTCTTTTTAGTGTTCAGCCTCTTAGCATTTTTAAATATTTCTCATCTGGGAACACTTCAACCTCCGGAATTCATTCACTTCATCCGTTTCTTCCTTTATTTAGCCTTTTAGTGTTGTCCCGATTTTTTCATAACAACAAGAACATGACAAAGAATTCTAACAACAACATAATATTAAAACGATCCATTTCGTGTCCAATAAATCTATAACTTCACGTGTACTTAAATATAGATTTCGCTTACTGCACGTAAAATATTGGCAATAGTGGAATGTTCGAGAAGCCGTTAGATGTCAGCAATGACATTAAACAACATGATAGGCAACTCTGACGTCACTCCATAAGACTACATGCGAAAGATTGTATTTCATTATACGCTCCAATGCACATATTTCTCGTCGCCTTTCGCGACCGTTTTCCGCTTGCTTTTGCTAATCGGCGTCCTCTTTACGTTTAGTACCTGCCTTTTTGCGCCTGTAACGAAAAAAAATAATCTCTATATCTAAGAAGTTTTGCTCACTTGGAAAGCTGGAATGACATACAAGCTGTAAAGAGTAATTCTGGACATCATAGACTTTTTTTTTATCAGAGAAGATTACAAACGCGATAGAGTAAAGATTTGTGTGGGACATTTTGCAGATAATGACAAAGTTCAAAGTTAGTAATTTTAATGTTTGCGCTTAAACATTGAAATTTCATTTAAAGAGGGTGTCATACAAAACAGCAAAACTGTTTTTACTTCTCTTAACGGTGCTGTGATACAATTCCATAACACAAAGTTTGCACCTATCGAACTTGCTTTAGTAGGTTATTTATTGTGAGGAATTTCGCATGTAATTCTCATTGATTGGTGGATGTTTATAATTCCTATTAATTGTGAATTCTGATTATAACAAAGAATTTACTGCCACCTTTTTCTTGTCAATACTCCAAGCTGAGGTAATAAACAAGACAATACATTTATGTCATCTGGAAGCAAAATATGCACACTAATTAAAAGTTTGACACATTGAGATAATACATCATTACAGAAAATACAAGTTAAAGATATGTATGACCATATATAAAAAAAAATTAATAGGGGCTGTGGAGTATGAAAAGTTCAAGACAAAGAAAAGAACAAAAGTTCATAGCCCATGAACTCTCAATTTTGCCTCCATTGCTTTGTGAACGCCAATATATTCCCAGTGGATAAATTGGTTTACCTTTATGATAGCAACGATTTTGTATTTAATACGGCAAATTTTTTTTCAATTTAATTGAAGTGATATTATTTCCCAAAGCAATGATTGAATTGTCTAGAATAGATCAGTTGTAATTGTAAAAAGTGCCGCAAACAGTTTTTGATAATGTATACTTGAAAGATATTTTTAAGATAGTTTTAGTTTGTGACATATATTAGGATGCAACTAAACAGTTGGATTAAGTTTTATTATTTTCTTTAATTTCAAATGCAATTTCATGTTAATATTTGCATTCCACTATTATTGCAAGTTACTGTATTTATTACAAAAAATCATGAAATTTTATGTACAACCATCAAAATCATTTTTGAACAAGCTTTGGATAAGGAAAGAATAATACATACACTAAAAAAATGCCTTAATCTAAATATATGGACCTAAAATTAACAAAAATACTACAATATAAACTCAATGTTTTTTAATTACATTTGTCCTGACGTTTGGCATCTTTTTTGTGTCACCAGCATACTAAAGCCAGGATGAAATAATTTTATAGTACCAACTCTAACTAACGAGGTCACATGATCATGGGTTAATCTGGATCTTTGCGAATGTTTAATTAATTCCAGTAATGCAAAAAAGTTACTTTTATCATTTCATGTATAGATCAGTAAAAAAACAAATGACAGATTTTTTCGACAAGACATTTCGCGCCACATTGCATGGCATACGATTGCTTGAATTATTATTGATATTTAGTAACAAAAAAAATGTATAATTATATTTAATATACAAACACATGGAAATTTTCTGTTCGAAGTTGGTCTTCGAATTTGTCATATTGACTGCTGAGCTTATTGTGTTTTTCATTGTACTGATGGAAATATGACAAATTAAACATTGTGCTTCAGAGAATTTTGTGAAATGCAGAAATATTGCAACTCCCATTTTCTTCGAAAATGCCACCTTCTTCATGTACTTTGCGTTTAATTTAATAACTCAAGTGTTTTATTCAAGTATTCTTTTGCTAGCTTGATGTGTATTCCTCAATGGGTTAAAATGTGAACAAAAAAATTTAATTTTTTAAAACTACTTTTAGTAAATTGTTTTCTGTGTGGATATTCAATTTCACTTCAAAAAGTTTGAAAAATCTGTTACATTTAGGATAGGATAGGATTTTACATATTTATCCCGGGGGAGAGGAAAGCCGATAAGACGGCTTATCCATATGGCGAACCACGGCCTCTCGTCCGGTTACCATTCCAAGTCGGGTATGGGATTAGTTTTACTGTATTGTTTGTTTTCGGAAGCATGGACTTGGTGGTGGAGGAAGCCGTAACCGACCAGCGGTTACGTGAACCACCCAACGACGGCGAGGAGTCCAGCAATCCTCTCGCACATAACCATCCCTGCATGGGATTCGAACCTGCGAACCCACGCAGAGTAATTAGAGGTGCGGTGGCGAGCGTATTCCTAACGCTTAGCCCGTTGAGCCACACCGCCGCGCCGATAAAAAAAACTTCAAAAATACTTTTACAATTATTGTTAAGCTTTCGAGGCCGCACTGGAAGTTCTCTGGGGCCGCGAGTTTGGTCTAGATTGAAGTTGTCCAAAATATATACCAGTATTTTATCATGAATCATGATTATACCCTTTCCTGAATTTTTTCTATAGTACTACCAAAAGTTGATGAACCAAATATAACATAGGTGTAGTGACCCGTAATCCTCATTTTTCAAAGCTGTTTTAAGTATGCCTGGCATGTTTTGTGCTTTTTCACAAAGAAGACCGCTTATGCAATCTTACGCATTGGAATTTTTAGTTATTTTCCTCAAGCCTTGCAGGATGTAGGGGCCATACACAACTCTACCGGAGGGTCAATTGCTTTTGCATGCCTTCATAGGTTGTTCTTCTATTGCAAACATTTATGGAGTATTCTAATTATATTTCTTGGAATCACACTGTCACTGATATGTCGCCAGACTTCTTCTGATATCTCCCCTTCTGCTACAGTTGTCCTGTGAATAAATAATAGGAAATTGAGATTAGACGAATAGTTGAAAGTTTTGCTTTATGTCGGCCTATTTTTTTGATTAATATACTTACTATTTTTGCTATTGCCTCTTGTGCTGCAGGAGTCTCACAATGCTTAGACAGGTTTGTCCACAACTTTCACATCTGAAGAAAGAGAGGAGATTTATTAATTTTCGTTAAGAATAAATAAAGCAGTCTATATGACTTAGAATGGAAAAGCTAATAAATCCAATATCTCATGTTTAATGTAAAAAATGTTTTACTGAATTTGGTATATAAATCAAGTAATAAAAGGGTTTAGTCAGAAAATTACAAGCATTCGTGGCTCTAAATACTTGAGAGATCATACTATACAATATAGACCGGTATGAGTGAAATGTTAGGTGAACTTGTTAACCCTTTGATTCAATACGCAAATAAAAGTGAATGAGCAATAGTATGCTACAGCAATGAGTATATATTTCTACACTGATTAGAAAAATCTAAACGGAGGTGCATGAACTATTTGAAACCATAAAGGGTAAGTAAATATGCAATTTCGGCAAATGGGCAACTACGTACCGTATTGATTTGATAACTTCGTAGTATTTGACAAAAGCTGGCTTTCCCACATGTACTTAACAGTGCTATGTCCGGGTGTGATATACAACAATAAAATTTACCTTACCTTTTTCCGATTTCTTTTTACCTTCAATTTTCCAAAATATCATTAAAATCGACAACAACTGTCAAAGCAGGCACGAACACCATTTGTGCTACGCCTTGAAAGCAGCACACATCCGCTCGTTTTCGTCTCGTCAAGTATGTGCATTGGAGCGTGCTATCGAATACGATCTTCGGACAAAAATGCCGAAGTTGCGCATCATGTTGTTAAATGTCATTGATGTCAGCTACAAAGCACAATGAAAATTTGCCAGAGTTTTTTAAATAAATCCCACACGCAAAATTCATGTTCCTTTTCATTTATGTATCAACAACATAATGCAGTTTCATAATAAGTTATTTGAGTGCTAAACAAAAACGTCATGACTTTTGTTAACAGTACTGCATTAATAATTTCAATTATTTTTGAAGAACAGTATGTAACAGTCTAACTTCAGATAAATACAACCAATAAAAACAAAAAATACATTTTTATGGTCAATAAAACTGAAGTAAATTATTTAAGTTTACGATATAAAAATATTTTAACGTAATTTATGAAAAAGCTCAATAATAATGATAATAGTCTAAGTCAATGCCATTATACAAACATTTCAATCTTCAATATAAACTGGAATTCCAATACTAAAATTTCTATATCCATACATTGTATCGTATGATGATATTAGGATGTACACCTACTATTTTGCGTATAGGATCTAACTGATATTACAGTGCTGAAGTTTCGCACGCTTCTGAAATCTGGAAGCTTGTTAACTTTTTGTGGTATCATCCTACTCATTTCTAGTTTAGTCTTTATAATTGGACACGTTACAAGGAAGCAACGCGCAATTTTGGGAAATATAAAATAATTTCATCGCTATGGCGGATTCGGAAAACTCAGAACTAATTAAAATTTCGATTAAGACGCCAAAAGAAAAAAAAGATGTTGAGATTAGCGGAAAAGGAACTGTGAAAGAATTACGTGAAAAGGTTGCGGAAAAATTTGCGTCATCGCCAGAAAAAGTCGTTCTAATATTTGCGGGAAAAATTTTAAAGGACAATGAAAGCGTTGAAACGCACAAGCTCAAAGATGGACAGACAATTCATCTTGTAATCAAGAGTCTTCCACAAGCTCAATCTAGTACATCAGGTCAGAGCGCGACATCTTCTCAATCATCTGCATCAACAGCAACCGCAACTGAAAGTCGTCCGAATCAACCTCCCCGAATGCCAGGATTTAATTCAACAAATTTGATGGACATGCAACAGCAAATGCAACAAGAAATGATGCGTAATCCTGATCTAATGCAGCAAATAATGGGAAATCCAATGGTTGAAAACATGCTGTCAAATCCTGAAGTAATGGGACAATTGATGAGGGCCAACCCTCAAATGCAGGCTTTGATAGAACAAAACCCCGAAGTCGGCCATTTACTGAACAATCCAGAGTTGATGCGCCAAGCATTGGAATATACAAGAAACCCAGCAATGTTACAAGAAGTGATGAGGAATCAAGATCGAGCCTTGAGCAACCTAGAAAGTATTCCTGGAGGTTACAATGCATTGCGTAGAATGTACACAGATGTTCAGGAACCAATGTTGAATGCTGCCCAAGAGCAATTTGGCGGAAATCCTTTTGCTAGTCTCATTCAGAACAGCAATAATTCAAGTGGTGATAACAATGCACAAAGAGGTGTTGAAAACACAGAACCACTGCCAAATCCATGGGGAGGTTCTGGCACTAGATCAACCGCAGCGACTACGACCACTCCAACAACAGGTAGTTCTACCAACACGTCATCTTCTGCTGCCCCTGGTGTCGGTGGAATACAAAACATGATGCAGGATATGATGCAAAACCCTAGCGCAATGCAAAATCTTATGTCAAGTCCATACATGCAAAGTGCGATGAATATGATGGCACAAAATCCGCAGATGACTGCTGCAGCAATGCAAAACAATCCCATGATTGCCAATAATCCCCAACTCCAGTCAATGATTCCAACAATGATTCAACAAATGCAGAATCCGGAGTTTCAAGCAGCAATGCAAAATCCTAGAGTTTTGCAAGCAATGACTCAAATTCAACAAGGCATGGATGTATTATCACGTGAGGCACCACAACTGTTGTCAGGAATGACATCCATGCCAATGATGCCTCGAGCACAAACGACTTCGACACCATCTTCCACGACATCGACAACCCCATCACAGCAGTCAACTAATCCTCTTGCGAGTGATCCCGAGGCTTTGTCACGGATAATGATGTCACTGGCAGCCACGAACCCATCTGCGAACACTCAACCCCCTGAAGAAAGATTTCGAACCGAACTTGAGCAATTGACAGCTATGGGATTTATGAATAGAGAAGCCAATATTCAGGCTTTAATAGCAACAGGCGGAAATGTTAATGCAGCAATTGAAAGGCTACTATCTCGTTAATATTGTATTTAAAAATTGATTGGATTGATATTTTGTTGTATTAACATAATCCCTGCAACCACATGATATATATCTTATTCTGCAATCAGAAATAATTTACTATATCATTTGTTTTGTAAATAATTACTGTAGCTTAATTGTATTATGTCAGGGTTGGAATTGGAATATTTCTGATCAATTTAGTGATATGACTCAAACAGACTAATTTTATTGAGATTTGATTTCTACTTTGGAGTTGATATTGGCTCCAACTAGGGTTGGTCAAATATTTCTAAGGCGGATTGAATTCTGAACAAGGAATCTAATACACCATATTTTTATTATCAATCTATGACATGACATACATGACAATTTTGAATGAAATTACTTGTATCATAAATAACCAAATTAACAGTATTCTTGTATCTTCGTAAATGTCTGCAGGTCTAAATTGAATTTTATAATGAAACGCCAGTTACACTTTAAAAAACTAGATGTAGGTGATACAAATATTTAATTTGATTATTGAAGTCATATTATAATCTGATTTTCTCAACCCGTGGTTCCAACCCTGACATTTTAAAGCATCTTTCGTTTTTATCGCAGGATAATTTATTTCCATCCCGTGTACAGGTACTTGCTGGAGAAATTCAGCTTAAGTGGTTATTTATGAAAAAGCCAATAATCATATCTTGATAATCACTTTTGTTGCATTGCAGGCTATATAACTCAATGTGTAAATGTATACCTTGTTATATGAGAGGTATTAGTTGTTTCTCTTGTTGAATTTTGATTTTATTTGTCAATTTTTTTGCATTGTATATATTAGACAAGGAATGAGCAAGGTTGGACAGGGTACTTCTTAATAGGAGATTTTCTAAAGTATAATCTTATGAAGGCTTCATTCTCTCTTGTGTTTAGGATGAGACAATGAAAAAATCCTAGTCGAATTCAACATTCTTTGTGTTTGTTTGCTACAAAAACCAACTAATTTTTTGATAATTGCTTAAATTAATCCTTCTAAATAATTTTCACATACTCTTTGATTAGCTGTGTGGAAACTGATTGGTCTTCAGTTTTATTAAAAAACTAACATTTTTTTCAGTCTGACATAATAGGTAATTTTTTTTGTCTGGCGTGTGCTGAGTAATATAGCACAGCTCGTCCAATATCCATTTTCTAGAAAATAGCATATTAAGATGGCATATAACATTCATTCTCTTACTAGATTTGGAAACACATTGGTTAATCAATATCACTGAATTTATTGCTCTAATTTAAGCCAGCTTAACATATAGTTATATGCTTTTAGTGTATTCGATCAGTTTGACTGCCGTAATTGTAAATAATATCCAGCAGTATTCACCCCATTGTTCCATGTTATAATTCGTTCAAATCCTCATGTCTATTATTCAGTGACTGCTTTACAATTGGAGTCATCAAAATGTGAATATGTAATTTGGTAATATAATACCTTGTGATTCACAAACAGTCAATTCCTTATTACAAATGAATGTCAATGCATAGGTTCGCTTTTGCTAAACGCTAATATATTATAATAATAGCTAATAAATCATCAATGTTTCTTATGTATTTTCTTCAGAGACTGGTGCTCATAGGCATAGCGATCACATTTTCCATGCCTCATTTCTTTGGTTTCAGTGTAATATGTAATATTTCTAATCATCTTTTGATAAACCGTAATTTCCAAAGAGCCAATTTTGAATTGTTGAAGATCTTGCTTTGAAAATGCAGAATTGTTGCTTAATTTACGAGTTTTATTTATTTGATGTTAGATGTGTTTGAGTACAAGATATTAATGCATACAGAAAAATGTGACCCCTCGTCTTTAATTACTGGTTTGGCAAAAAAAAATTTTGGTGTGGGCAAAATGCTATTTATATTGGACCCCATGCATATTGAAATATATATTTTAATATTTGTGTTTGAATATTGAGTCATTGGTAAATATACCGGACATTAAAATTGGCTTTCAAATTTCACAATTGCTAATACTGTATTTCATAACTAACTGTACGTTGTATGTAAATGATATATGTTGTATAATATTTGCTTTGTGATTTAATTATTCATTATGCTCTGCCATACTTTCATCTTATATAAGTTTATTTGAAATGTGGTTTCTGTGTTACTACATATAAATGAACATGGGAATGATGTCATTCGTGAAAAATTTGTCAATTATTTTTCCAATATTAATGAGAATGTTATCTATGTTCAAACAAAAGTTTTTTCCCGTAACAGTCAGCTTTCAGTAAATAGAGGGAAAAAACAAGCGGGCAATATGGATGTGGCCCTTCTATGGCTTATACTCTTACATAAATATAATTTGTGACTGAGTAAATTTGTTATCAATCTTGTGTAATATTATGTCTTTTCAGTGCACTTGCCATCGACCCATGGCATCTTTACTGAGACATGGGTTGCCTCAAATGGTGAGGCGATGCAAACCAAACCTAATAACTTTAGCTGGTAAAAACTCTCCAGTCATCTATTTGGGGATACGGAGAGTGGCATCTTCAAGCAAAAAGGGAGCGTCTGCACCAGTGACTGTTTCAGAAAAAACACCATATGAGATTGAACTGGAAAGGCTGAAAAAGAAAGATGTATGATTACTTTATTTTCTGACAATTTTTGCCTTTGCTTGCCATGTAATTGAGTCAGCTTAAGCAAATTAATGGAAAATGTTGAATGTTCGTGATAGTGTTTCAAAAGTATTGCAATAGACATTGTTTTATTAATTTCATTGATTCAGATTGGCATATCTACATTTTGATGTAATAACTCATGCAACTTAATGATGGTGTCACAATTTCATTTTTGTATTCTAGCCTGAAGAAAAGTTTTATGGATTTTATAAAGATCAACCATATGTTGACAAAATGCAATACCATTCTTTTTGGTTGATATTATGGTCTTTGACATTGATGTTCCTCTTTCCTGTGTTATCCTATACACCAATGTGGAGGTAAGACTTCGTAATTGTGTGATACTCTTTACTAATTATTTCACTCATTCTTCATGCTCGGCTGAAAAGCTGAAATGAACAGTTTTTTAATCACTATGAATTGTGAGAAAGATAAGATACTTTCAATTTGTGAACTCATAAAAATTTTATTTAGTTTTCAGTCATTTATTCCATGAAATAATGTTTCACATTCAAAAGGCTGATTCACTTTCCAGCTTTAATTTTCATTTCGTAATACTGGTTAGTCAAGTGCATCAACTTTCATCTTTGACCTAATTTAAAAGAAAGCGATGAATCTTTATTCCGTAAATTGGCTTGTAGTAGATCTTAAAATCAGTGGTATTCGAACTTTCTAAGTCGTGCCCTCTTTTTCGAATTTGTCAAGTCTCGTGCCCCGCCTCAAAAATAACTATCTAACAACAAGATACAACTAACAGATAGTAAGGTAAAAATATATTTTATAAAAAAAGACGTTGAAAATACGTGGATGGAACGTAAATAATGAAATAAATGAAAAGTTTGAATAAGGTGGGCAAGATCAAATCTAACAAATAGTTTTATTCCGTCCCCTCAAAATATTGCAATGCTTCTTTGCACGCAATATCGTTTGAGAACCACTGCTTTAAATTCTTAATTTTAATTGCTTGCCAGGCCAAAGACTGTGCTTTAATAAAGACTAAAAATACTAAAGACTTGTTTAACATACCTGATAAACTTTAACTTGATTTTTTATTACTCACAGGGGCAATGATAGGAAATGGAAGGCTCGGGAAGCACATGCATGGATAGAAAAACGAAGAGCTAATGACGAACCTTTGATAAGTAAAGACTATGCTCCAGCTGAAATAATAGAAGGCATGGTGCCTCCTCCTGGCGATTGGGAAAGAGATTGGCTTATGGCACAGCAATCAGTAAGGCCAAGTGCCACAGGAGTCTACAACCACAATTATACGTTTTAAATTGTTGCCAGGCTGAATAAATTAGTTTTGATATGTACGTTTTGATATATCACACAATACTATTCATCATTTTCTGGGCATCCAATATCTAATCAGACTTGTGATGTTTGACTTGCTTTAACTTGTTTTCTTTTCTGATAAGTTCTCCTCAAAATATATTTGTGAATAATATGATTATGATATCTCATAAGGCGAGTTTTTGATAAGCAGTATAACATTACACTCCAATATGTAGAAATGCCAATGCTTGTGTTAGGGCAAGTTTTCCAGTGGTTGTTGGTGAAATTGGTCTACCTGTCCTGCATGATGTTCATACTCGCCCTGCTTTAGCGACTTCTGTCAAATGTGAATCGACGCCAAAGCTTGTGTTAGAGAAGCTTATTCCAGTGGTCATTGGAAACGTGCTTTGATATGACTGGTGAATTATATGCCCATTGATTCCGTAAAATCGTACAAAATTCTTTGTTCAATTGCAATAAGGAGGAGTAGTGTAAATAAACCCTTGCTGGAAATTATGAATATTTGAACGGCGGCAAAAGATGGGCATTGGGTTTGCACGTTTAGCAGAGAACAAGAAGGTCATTTTTGCTGCGCCAAGCATCACTAGTACTTTTCTAGTTAAAGGACATTTGTACTTTCCAAAGATATCCAAATGAAAATTATTAGACCCGTTTTTAGGAGGCATCGTGCCGAACAAAATCTGACTTTCAATTTGAATTCAATGAAGAAAACATGCCAGTGATGAGAGGATATAATTCTTACTTTTGTAAATGAGTAACTTCCTCCGTAGATGTTAATATAAATATGAAGAAAGGGAAAGTCTTCTTGCTCGGATGAAAGATTAAGCGCGGGATATATCACGTTTCGATGAGACGGTCATGTAACAAATTCAAAATGCGTCAGCGGTTCCATGTGTTGCTAAAGTGACCCCCCCCCCTAAAATTTACCATAATTTTCAGGTGTGACACCATACTTTAATTTATAACGTAAATAAAAATGTGTTTGTATAATTAAAAAAGTGGCTCATAGGCCGGTGAAGATGAACATTTTATAAGTTACATCACTATAACAAAATATCTACCACCCTCCCTAAAATAAAAATCTAGGGAACATACTGCGGCTTGCTACCACCTCGTTGAGTGAACTCTCGCTTTTAGTATAAAGATTGGCGCTGTGATTTGTAATTAAAGATACTGAACGGTTTTTTAGTCATGCATTATGGCAAGACAGACACGTAGGCTTTCGTGGAAGGTCAACGTGACGGTCCATTACCATGGCAACAATACGCACTGGTCTTCTAATATGTAATCGACTACACACATTCATCTTATACAGTAGTTCTCGCGTGATTACAGTTCCCCCAGTGACCTTTCAAACCTGCCGATCAACAATGGTTAGCAAATTGAAACTCCGGGGTTTATTATTTTAATGATGTTTATAACTGGCTTAGTTTTGTGCACCAGGACTGTGATATTAAGCGTCTGGTGCTCAAATGCTTCGACCCGTTACGAGGACGTATTCTATAACAAATGATATAATTCTGGGATTTGTTGGCAAATTGATAATATTCACGGGGCCTATATTCAGTTCTTTGCAATGATCGAGTAAAATTGATCTTGGGAAGTTATAACGGGGACAATTTAATATTAAATGTTCGACGGTTTCGTTTTCCGTGCAGGTGTCGCAAAATCCATTTTCGTGTAGTCCAATTTTATGAAGATGAAAGTTCAGACGACAGTGGCCTGTTTGTAGTCTGAACAATAGTATTTCATATCTTCTAGATCTCAGGGGTGCGATGTCGAATGTACATGTACAACGAAGGTGATCCTTGGTCAAGATATTAACGATAATGCCACACGCTTTTGTTAAACATTTATTTTCAGCTAGGAAGTAAGAAGGCAGACGGAATGATTAGAAATCAAGAAAAAGAATTATCAACATATCCCCGTCTTGGCAATTATTCACTTAGCAACGGTCTTGATGCATATTGCTTTTTATCACTGGAATCGGCATTAATAATAGCCATGAATGGTTTATATTTTTCCTGATTGCTAAGTTTGTAAAGAAAATGAGATTGCAACTTGATTGATTAGGCAATTACTCCATAGTTATTTATTGAAAAACTTGTAATTTTAGAACAGTCCTTTAATTTCCATTGTTTCTGGGTCCAATGAAATATCATAAAAGCATGGTCTAGTTGGAAGCCCTGGCATCGTTGACATAGTCCCGATGAGTGGGTAAAGAAATCCAGCTCCGACGCTTGCGCGAATGTCTCGCACTGGTAATGTAAAACCTGTTGGTGAACCTTTCAACTCCGGCATATGAGAAAGAGATAGATGAGTCTTTGCCATGCATATTGGTAAATTTGCGAAACCCTGTTTGGTATATTGCTCTACCTTTTGCTCTGCTTCTGGTGATAGTTCAACCCCATCAGCTCCATAAATTTTCCTCGCAATAATTTCAATCTTTTCCACAATAGGCAAATTAACATCATATAAAAATTTGAAATCTGTTGGTGCATCTGCTGCAGCCACTACAGCACGAGCCAGGTCAGTGGCACCTTTACCCCCAAGCGCCCAATGTGTGCATGAAACTGCATCAAAAGCACCTGCCTCGCGTGCAAGCCTCAATGCTAGTTCAACCTCATTCTGTGTGTCAAATACAAATTGATTTAAAGCAAAAACAACAGACACACCAAAATACTTGGCATTTTCAATTTGCTTCCGAACATTTGAGAATCCCTTTCCAACCAAGTCACATTTCTCTTCAAAATATTCTTTTGGCAGTGGCATTCCAGCTGTGACATTTGGTCCTCCCCCATGCATCTTAATTGCTCTAATTGTAGCTACCAGCACAACAACATGAGGTCGAAGGCCAGATTGTCTGCACTTTATGTTGAAAAACTTTTCCATGCCAATATCTGCTCCAAACCCAGCTTCTGTAACAACAATACCTTCAGGTCCTACCAATTTTAAAGCAATTTTATCTGCAAGGATAGATGAATTACCATGAGCAATATTTGCAAATGGTCCAGCATGAACAAAAACAGGAGTGCCTTCCAGAGTTTGCATCAAGTTTGGCTGAATAGCATCCTTCATCAGAACTGCCAAAGCACCAGTGATGCCAAGATCATCAGCACTGACTGGATCTCCACTCTTGCTACTACCAATAACCATATTTCCAAGACGTTTGGACATATCAGTAACGTCAGTTGTCAGAGCCAATACTGCCATTATCTCACTTGCTACTGTTATATCAAATTGAGTGTCTCGAGAAAAACCTTTTTCTGTTGGTGATAATCCAATTGTTATCTTGCGAAGGTATCGATCATTTGTATCAATGACTCTTTGCCAAGTGATAGTGTCAGGGTCTATGTCTAACCTTGCAAACTTCTTAATCTCTTCTTCTGTTAGTTCATCTGGATTATCTTTTTCGATTCCAAGGCGCTGCAATCTTCGTTTTTGAATATCACAAAAGGATCGTTTACCCTGCTTCTTTGGCACAAGACGATTAAATAAAGCTTTATCAGATTGGCACTTTTCATGAAACATTCTGGCATCAATTGCAGCAGCAAGCAAATTATTTGCAGCAGTGATGGCATGTATGTCCCCTGTTAAATGAAGATTAAATTCATCCATTGGAATGACTTGCGAGTATCCACCTCCAGCAGCACCACCTTTTATGCCAAAAGTTGGACCTTGTGAAGGCTGTCGCACACAAGCAAAGATGTTTTTATTCAAATGAGCTCCCAGTGCCTGAGCTAATCCAATTGTTGTTGTACTTTTTCCTTCTCCAAGCGGTGTTGGTGTGATGCCAGTTATAACAACATATTTACCGTCCTTAACATCCTGTAGCCTTGACAAAGTTGACAAAGACACTTTAGCTTTTACATTGCCATAAGCACTAACTTCACTCGGCAAAAGGCCAACTTCTGCCGCCAAATCTCTTATGTTCTTAGGTGTTTGTGCTGTAGCGATTGCAATATCTGTGGGGACAGGAGTTTTGAGATCTAAGGGGAGATAAGAAATATTCCACTTCTTATTGAGTCGCTTCTCCAGATCCACAGCAGCACATTCCACAGTATTTTGCATCAACATTGCTACAGTCATAGGACCAACACCACCTGGAACTGGAGTAATCCAACCAGCCACAGTTGAAACTTCCTTGAAGTCGACGTCTCCTACAAGCCTTTGACCACTTTTTTTAGAAGAATCTGGTATTGCATTGATTCCACAGTCAATCACAACAGCTCCAGGTTTAACCCATGAAGATTTGACCATTTCTTGTTGTCTTATTGCGACAACTAGAATATCAGCATTTTTTGTAATTGCTTCCGTATTTACAGTCCTGGAATGACAGACAGTAACAGTAGCATTATTCAAACGCAATAATTCTGACATGGGAGCACCAACTATTTTGCTACGACCAAGCACAACTGCATTTTTTCCGGAAATGGATATGCCTGTGGTTTTTATTAATTCAAGGCAACCTCTTGGTGTACAAGGAATATTGCAGCCTTTTCCAACATCACCCCGACTGAGTAATCCAGCATTGTGAACAGTGAGACCATCAACATCTTTTTCTGGAGCTATAGCATTTGTTGCAACATCCGCGTCAATTGGTTGGTCAGTCTCAAGAGGTAGTTGAACAATTATTCCATGAACATCAGGATCAGCATTTAGTGCATTAATTTTATTCAAAAGATTTGATAAATTTGTTGATCCGGGTAATTGAACATGTTGAGCATGAATTCCAATCTCTTGTGCAGCTTTAAGTTTCATACGAATATACACATTGGAGTCTTCCCGGTGGCCAACCTGGACAATGGCCAGTCCTGGACGAAACCCTGCACACTTCTCTGCTAAGTCTTTCACTTTCTGAGACAATGATTTTCGAATATCAGCAGAAATTGATTTTCCATTGAGCAACTGCGCCATAATTTTGATGGACTACAACTACAATCTAAGCGTTTAGAAAAGTAAATAAAAATCACATTAAATTTGTGCAACATAAACCCAGAGTCCTGTTTGTAATGTTTGTAAATATTGTACTCCACGAGAATCCTAAGAGTATTGAGCTGATAAATGCTTTGAGCAAATCAACAGCAGCAATACTACTTGCAGTAACCTATTTGAAACTATGTTAAGGGTGTATTATCTGCTTTGTTAGCAACTCTACAGAGCCACTTATGTGAATGATTAACTAAGCAAACATGATGAGCTGGCTATTTCAGTGATAAACAAACAGTTTGAAGTCTAGCCTTCTTGCTTTGCAATCTTGTGAAAATAAAATGATTATTCCAGAACAAGGGATTATTAGGGACAATCGATATTGAAAAAATATTATTCAACCACTTAACTTCGGACCGGATAACTTGATAATATGCATAGGCCTATAGCATATTAACAGTTTTAACAGTTATACTATTGATAAACCATTGAAACACCACATTATCATGAACCTAATTGCCATGTAAAGCTGAACCTTGGTAACAACCAACTAGTATTCTGAAAAATTTGTCAGACAAATCTAACTAGGACTAAACATTTGGTAATTTCAAAAGCTGCAGAGGTGAGAAGTTTTTTTAGATTCTGAAAACATATTGGAGATTTTCAAAATGGTTACCTTTTAACTCAAAAATGGAGTCATGATGCATAATTTCTGAATACTGTCTTATATTCAAATCATAAAACAAAAATTGGTGAAATTGAACTTAGATTCACTATTTAGGGAAGTCTGTTAAAACAAGCTTCATAAAGGTCCGACTCTGACAGATGTATATCAGTCTGAAAAACTCGAAAGGGAATGATGATTATAATTTCAGTTATGAGTGATACCAATTTGTCTTCGTAAAGAACCCACTCCAAATGAACAAATATCAGCATTTCCAAATAGTGGTATTCATTTTTATCTAGTTCGAATTTATCTTCAATGTGGATTGTCACAAATAACCAGCTATCCAAACAAAACAATTGAACTTTCTTTTCCACATCGAGGGATGTCATAAATATTCTGTTCATTGAAGTACTGACAATGCCAGATCATCGTGAATTAGCCCCATCCTACTGGCTTCCATCTCTCACATAAATCTTCAGACATATTCGGCGCAGGCGGACGTGGTAGAAATTTCTTAACTATTGGATTTTGTGAAGATGGAATGTTTTCTCTTGCACGTATGGTATTAGTCACTTGCATACACTGATACGATGAGGTAGAAACATCCCCATGAATTATAATAGCTTTTGATGATTTTTTATCGCGTTTGATGCCATCAAACACATAGTTTGTTTGTTTTCCATTGTTATCCAAGACTTCCAATTCTGAGCTCTTTTTGGCATCTAAAGTTATATTCTGCAATTTGCTTTCTGGAAAATCCTTTGGAGTAGAGATCATCCACAATTGCCAATCTTTTGGGTCAAACCCACTGAATTCACTACCCACATCTTCATCAACTTCAATTTGATTAAAACCATTCAATTTTTTGTCATTAGCTGACATTTTATAACTGAAATTTTTAGTACAAATATAAAAATTGATTAGAATTACAGCTAAATCAGTAGGTAGCATCATTGATAAAAGTGTGGTAAACAATGAAAAGCCCACAGAACTACATTGCATACAGGTGTATTATATACTTAGGATAGGATTTACATATTTATCCTGGGGGAGAGGAAAGACGACTTATCCATATGGCGAACCACGGCCTCTCGTCCGGTTACCATTCCAAGTCGGGTATAGGATTAGTTATATTGTTTGTTTTCGGAAGCATGGACTTGGTGGTGGAGGAAGCCGTAACCGACCAGCGGTTACGTGAACCACCCAACGACGGCGAGGAGTCTAGCAATCCTCTCGCACATAACCATCCCTGCATGGGATTCGAACCTGCGAACCCATGCAGAGTAATTAAAGGTGCGATGGCGAACGTATTCCTAACGCTTAGCCCGTTGAGCCACACCGCCGCGCTTATAAATACATATACACTATAAACATAGGTATTCTGATATGTACTGCCAATACCTGAATACTGTAGTGCAATAAGACATCTGGTATTTTCTCATGTCCCCTAAATTTTAAAATGTGGCTTATAGGTATAACAGAGGAGTTTTATTGGCCGAGATCAAAGTGTCATCATGCTTATTATTTGTAAATCAAAAATTGAAGGGACTGATGTGAGTCAGGGATTGCAAGATACTACAGACATCTGGACATGCTGGTGACTATATATATCTGTATATAGTTTTTTTTTTCTGCATAAAGGTACAACATCAATAACACCCAATTAACAGACTAACGTGCCAACGAAAGTTTCATTCTGTCATTACGTTGCCTTTGCATAACAAGTACATTACTAACACGTGCGCACAAAACCAACGGTACAATTAATAGTTGAGACGCTAATATCACTGTAACTCGCGGGTACCGGTAGTTATAAAATGGCGGGGATAGTGAAATTTTTGTAACTTGGATGGGCTTGGCTTGTACAAACTTGGCTTAAGCTACATTCACTTTCAAAATGTAATTCCTCTTGCTGTCTTGTGCTCAATCAACTGCCATTGCCAATGGTATATTTTCAAACTAATAGCCAAATATAAAGCCGGTGAAAATAGAAAATATATATCTCATAACTGACGGATTATTGTTACCATGGAGCTATCATATCGTCATCATATATATTAATGAAGATAAATTCATTCTCATAACTCTGGCATGGAGTGTCTCAGCCAGATAATCTGTGGAAGACGGAAAACTTGCATTTCATTTCAGCTCAAACTCGGCTGGAATCATTAATTCTTGTAATCTAGATCTAACGTCGCCTTATGTAAGTGCTACAATGAAAAATAAATAGAAAAACAATTGAGATAATTATATTTTCCAAAAATATATTCCACAAAGACTCCCTAATAACTAGCGGGGGCAATTTTACTATTTAGATATATACTTCAAACAAAGCACTTATAATGCATGAAATATAGCCTATTGCCCAATCAAATTAGATTCTTGAAACAAACTTTCAGGTACATTCGACTCTTCCATATATTGCCGTTGGCTATCTGTGTCGTGTGAAATTAGTAAATATCTATACAGTATTGCCCTTTTAATAATCAGAATTCAATTAACAATAAACATTAGTACTACTTTCCTCTCGAAAATCGTGAGCACTAAGCTCCAACAAACCTCAATATTTTCACTACATTTTATAAGACTGCAATTCTATTGATTACAAGGCGGTTACAAATAGCGGTTTAAGACCGTAATATGTATGGAACAATATTATGTGTACAAGGATTGAGATTAGATTATGGGAATCAATTTTTATTGCTTATATCTTGACAGGTTGGTGGTCCGAACTAAGAGGATCGGCGTAGTTTATCTTACCCCAGCAGGTGTGTGAAATCACTTTCCTGAGGGGGTCCAGTTACTTAGTTAGTGGGCTATGAAGTGAAGTAAGCTTTATAATCGTATCTGCTGCCCTGATTTTAAGCTCTTGTGTCGTAAATTGTTGGCAAAAGTCCTTTATATGTTTTGTTAAAAAAAAAGGTCTCGTGATGTTATATTTTTTGAACACCGGAGACCCTTCATTACGAATTAAGAAGGCAGTTGAATATTGTTTTAAAAATACGTCTCTCGATTTCTTGTTAAAAACGTCATTCGGAATTCAAATTGCGCTTCCCACGCAAACCTAGATTAAGGTTTATATAATAAACAGCATACTGTAGCAATCGGGTCATCTTGGATGAGTTTTAGATATAGGTGGCTCGTTTTCCACATTATTTACAGGCGCAGATAATACATGTCTATATCTTAGCCGACGACTCGTTAGTTTCAACGCAAATTTATATCTATAACAACTATATATATATATATATTGTACCAGTAGTCGTCGTAAATTTCTTGAGAACAAATCCAAGATCTTTTGTTCTACCGTTTTTGAATGTTGATAATCCAGGAATGAAAGTGCTAGGTGAAACCTCATTATTATATCTTTATTATTATAGCACATGCATCGGATTGATGTGCTTGCCTGTTGAAACGCTTTTCCTCAGAACAACTGCTCATATCTGTCTCATCCAGTGTGATTTCTCTTTAAATATTGATTCGATCATTTGTGGGTTATCTTTTTCTTGTTTAGTCAGTTTATGGGAATCGAACAGAAAGAAAATGAATCGTGAAATAAAAAATGAGAATAACAATTTCTACTATATTCATGGGTATTTCGATTTTGACATTCAGTTGATTACCTAAGTTACGCTAAGTTAACTAGAAGTTATTGAGGTAAGAAACTACATCCATAGCGGACACACAGACGTATTAATCACGATTGCATTATGGTCGCTATTATTAGGCAAGCTCTATTTCGTTATTGTGAAGTCGCATTGACGTAATTTTTGGAACATGAAGTCAGGTGAGGGTCAGGAATATTATATGCAATAATTCTTACGCTAAGATAAGTATAAGTTATTGAGGTAAGGAACTACATCCATAGGTGGCATTAATAGTAATCGTCGCTATTATTGAGCAAGCTCTATTTCGTTATTGTGACGTTGCCGTGACGTAATTTTTGGATGACGAAGTCAGGTGAAGGTCATGAATATTATATGCAAAAATTGTTACGCTAAGTTAACTAGAAGTTATTGAGGTAAATAACTACATCCATAGCGGACACACAGACGTATTTATCACGATTGCATTATGGTCGCTATTATTAGGCAAGCTCTATTTCGTTATTGTGAAGTCGCATTGACGTCATTTTTGGAACATGAAGTCAGGTGAGGGTCAGGAATATTATATACAATAATTGTTACGCTAAGATAAGAATAAGTTATTGAGGTAAGAAACTACATCCATAGGTGGCATTAATAGTAATCGTCGCTATTATTGAGCAAGCTCTATTTCGTTATTGTGACGTTGCCGTGACGTAATTTTTGGATGACGAAGTCAGGTGAAGGTCATGAATATTATATGCAAAAAATTGTTACGCTAAGTTAACTAGAAGTTATTGAGGTAAAAAACTACATCCATAGCGGACACACAGACGTGTATATCACGATTGCATTATGGTCGCTATTATTAGGCAAGCTCTATTTCGTTATTGTGAAGTCGCATTGACGTAATTTTTAGATGACGAAGTCAGGGCAAGGTCAGGAATGATATATGCAAAAATTGTTACGCTAAGATGAGTATAAGTTATTGAGGTAAAAAACTACATCCATAGGTGTCATTACTAGTAATCGTCGCTAATATTGGGCAAGCGTTATTTCGTTATTGTGACGTCGTATTGACGTAATTTTTTGATGATCAAATCAGGTGAGGGTCAGGAATATTACGTGCAAAAATTGTTACGCTAAGTTAACTAGAATTTATTGAGGTACGAAACTACACCCATACCGGACACACAGGCGTATTTATCACGATTGCATTATGGTCGCTTTTATTAGGCAAGCACTATTTCGTTATTGTGAAGTCGCATTGACGTAATTTTTGGAACATGAAGTCAGGTGAGGGTCAGGACTATTATATGCAATAATTGTTACGCTAAGATAAGTATAAGTTATTGAGGTAAGAAACTACATCCATTGCGCTAAGGCAAATTAATATGTCGGTTTCTGCTTATCTAAAGCCGTGCATAGAGTGAAAGCGTTCCACGTCCTATTAATAAAATGTGGCACAATACATTATCAGTCTCTGGATATTAAATAACAAGTATTTATGTATGCGGTACCCAACCTCAATCATTGCGTGAATTAAATGTTCTTTCTGTTTGTCTAAAGCCTTGCGTAGAGCGGTATCGTATACCCCCCTATTGATAGATCGTAGCACAATACATGAGCTTTTGCTGGAGCTGGACAAAAAATAACAAGTCTTTATGTGTGTGGTACCCAACTTCAACCATAGCGTGAAATAACATGTGTTTTCTGCTTGTCTAAAGCCTTGGTTAGAGCTGTATCGTATAACGCTCTATTTCTGGACAGAAATTGGTCAGAATGGGATATCGTGAACGTTCCTTGGCGACAATTTAGTCGCTTGTGATGCTTGTTTATTTGAGCTCTGCACAACGACCCCGATAAGAGAGAGGTCGGTGACGTATTGAGTTTGTTGACATACTCGTAGACGCCATTACGGGTGACCGTCGCTAAACTTTGGCAAGTTGTATTTCGTTATTGTGACGTAGCAGTGACGTAATTTTTGGATGACGTCATCAGGGGGGGGGTCAGGAATCATATATCCAAAAATTGTTACGCCACGCCCACTAGAAGTTATTCAGGTAAGAAAGTACATGAGACCCCAAAACTGCTGTTTTGACGAATATATTCTCTACGTAACATAGTTTATTGTGAGACACGTGTAAAATAAATTATACTATGACTTCATAAGTATATAATTCACAATTACTCGTTTAATGAGCCTATAATTTAATGATAATTAGTCAAATGGCAACAAAACTCAGAAAAATGGTTGCAACCCTTAATTTTGTCCCGCGAGCGACAAAAGGTTGTCGAATGCCGACCCCTGCCATATGACATCGTGTACCTGACGTCATTTACGAGTGTTCACACGAATTAAATAAAAACATTAAAACGATATTTTGACTTGGTTTAGAAGACAATGAAAAACAAGCATGGATTCGGGTAAATGAATGCATTCGACGATTAGTATTATGGTACTTTCAGATTAGAAACCACACTAACCAAACATGACTCTATGGACAAAATGCTAAATATCAAAACAACTCCGTTCAAGTACCTACAGCGAGTTTCAATCTTATAATGCTGCTGACATATTATTAGAAATGAAATTACGTAATAAATTCTGATTAGCAATATCAGTTTGAAAAATTTGACAAAATATAATCTAAGACCTGAATAGCGCTTTGTATCATAATCCTAGACAAATCCAAGTTAAAGAACAAAAAGCGCCTCCTTCTGTAAAAGTTTCATGCGAAGCCATAAATGGAAAATTATGGACGAAGCCATTTTGGCGTGATTTTAAAAAAGTAAACGGTGTAAACTATGAGGAAAAAGGCAGTTTCATTACTATTTACCTTATAATACTTTGGGCATCAGACCATATCGGCCGGAGGACGTTCGATCGAAGCAGATACCTGATGTAGGTCAGATATAATTATGCATTATATATCAGAATTTGCAGATTTTGCATTTGTGGGGTGGGATGCGAAACCGTTAATCGAAACCGGATAATCAACGAAACCGTTCTTGTTTATTTGTTTTGAACGTTAGATGACCTCAGCAAATGGGTTACGTGCACGGCAGCTGACGACTAGCGTAATTATTGGCGTTATGCATTTTGTATGCTGACGTTTAGCAATCAAAAGACGCCGTTTCGAGTTTAGAGAGTAATCTGCATATTTTTCAGATCTTGACTGAACGTCTCAGTATCGCAGTCAATAACGCATTGAAAACGTACATCGAAGCTATTCAGCCCACGCCATTTTGAATAATGAAAGTATGTTGTCGGTGAGGATAAAAGACGACAGAAACCTTGTTTGAGTTTTCAATTTAAATGCGGTCTAGCAAAATAAGGTATGATCGATTCATCAAATTTTTTGTATATATGATATAGTGGTTTGCGGGAAGTCAAACACGTTAACAAATTGTTTTGGTTAACTCGTTCTACGTATGATTCATGCACCCACCCCGTAGCTGTTTTGCTACATTTGACCAGTGTTGCTATGGCAATAAATTGGAGGTCACGCGCGATTTATAGCTAAAAATTCTCGGAATAAGTTAGACATTTTCTGGGCGAGATGGACAAACAGCAAAATAATCCTGATGGTGTATCATAAGATCTCATCAACGCCCAGATGTCTCAGGATTAGGGCTCTCACAATTCAATTTAAACAGAACATTTTTCAGGTATATTAAATAGTATGTACGTCAGAAAAACATCATTTTTTTATTATATCGATGACTTATCAATGCTAATGCTTTTGAGTTGAATATGAAATGTGTCGCAAGTGAAATCTTGTTCTTTCACAATATGTCGCTCTATCACGCGACACGTTTTAAGCGATGAAAAAGCGCAAGGTGTCGCTATTAGAAGGATTTTACTTTGCCTGTCCTTCATATTCCAGGGATATGACCTGGATTACCCCAACCTACTAATTCGTAGATAGTCCAAAACCTAGATTGCTTGAAAAAATAATGCGGAAGGACAACGGAAAGAATAACATAATTATAATATAAATTTATAATTATAATATCAAAATCACTCTGAATTTGAACGGTGCAAGGTATAATGTAGGCCTACAGGCTGTGAATGAATCAATCGCATGAATCTCATATTAACGATATGGACGGCAGTTTTTATTTGAATCATTATAAATTATTCAATACATATGCGTTTCATTAGAACTTTTCATTTTGGCGTGATTTCAAAAAAGTAAACGGTGTAAACTATGAGGAAAAAGGCAGTTTCATTACTATTTACTTTATAATACTTTGGGCATCAGACCATATCGGCCGGAGGACATTCGATCGAAGCAGATACCTGATGTAGGTCAGATATAATTATGCATTATATATCAGATTTTGCAGATTTTGCATTTGTGGGGTGGGATGCAGGGGTTTCGCTCAAATTAGTTTTTGGAATACTATTGATAATCAACGAAACCGTTCTTGTTTATTTGTTTTAAACGTTAGATGACCTCAGCAAATGGGTTACGTGCACGGCAGCTGACGACTAGCGTAATTATTGGCGTTATGCATTTTGTATGTTGACGTTTAGCAATCAAAAGACGCCGTTTCGAGTTTAGAGAGTAATCTGCATATTTTTCAGATCTTGACTGAACGTCTCAGTATCGCGGTCAATAACGCATTGAAAACGTACATCGAAGCTATTCAGCCCACGCCATTTTGAATAATGAAAGTATGTTGTCAGTGAGGATAATAGACGACAGAAACCTTGTTTGAGTTTTCAATTTAAATGCGGTCTAGCAAAATAAGGTATGATCGATTCATCAAATTTTTTGTATATATGATATAGTGGTTTGCGGGAAGTCAAACACGTTAACAAATTGTTTTGGTTAACTCGTTCTACGTATGATTTATGCACCCACCCCGTAGCTGTTTTGCTACATTTGACCATTGTTGCTATGGCAATAAATTGGAGGTTACGCGCGATTTATAGCTAAAAATTCTCGGAATAAGTTAGACATTTTCTGGGCGAGATGGACAAACAGCAAAATAATCCTGATGGTGTATCATAAGATCTCATCAACGCCCAGATGTCTCAGGATTAGGGCTCTCACAATTCAATTTAAACAGAACATTTTTCAGGTATATTAAATAGTATGTACGTCAGAAAAACATCATTTTTTTATTATATCGATAACTTATCAATGCTAATGCTTTTGAGTTGAATATGAAATGTGTCGCAAGTGAAATCTTGTTCTTTCACAATATGTCGCTCTAGCACGCGACACGTTTTGCGATGAAAAAGCGCAAGGTGTCGCTATTAGAAGGATTTTACTTTGCCTGTCCTTCATATTCCAGGGATATGACCTGGATTACCCCAACCTACTAATTCGTAGATAGTCCAAAACCTAGATTGCTTGGAAAAATAATGCGAAAGGACAACGGAAAGAATAACATAATTATAATATAAATTTATAATTATAATATCAAAATCACTCTGAATTTGAACGGTGCAAGGTATAATGTAGGCCTACAGGCTGTGAATGAATCAATCGTATGAATCTCGTATTAACGATATGGACGGCAGTTTTTATTTAAATCATTATAAATTATTCAATACATATGCGTTTCATTAGAACTTTTCAGTAGCAAATAAATATTATATTAATGGCTCCCGGAAGACTTACTGAAAAGGCAGCAATTGTTACCGGTGGTGGAAGCGGAATAGGTAGAGCAGTTTGTGAAGTATTTGCAAGAGAAGGGGCTAGCGTTGCCGTTCTTGATATCAACGGCCAACATGCGTCCGAGACCGTTAAACTGCTGTTAACAAACCACCAAAACACACATTGTTTTATCGAAACAGATGTGTCATCGGTTGAAAATGTTAAAGAGGCATTTTTGAAGTCACAGAAGGAATTGTCAAAAACATGCACTATTCTTATAAATTGTGCTGGAATATTACGTGGAGATTCATTCGTCAACATGAAAGATGATGACTTTGATGATGTCATTCGGGTTAATCTGAGAGGATCATTTCTTACGTCGAGGGAATTTTTAAAATCACTGGAAAATGTGGAAGATTCAAATGGGAGCATTGTCAATATTTCTAGCCTCGTCGGGAAAATGTCGTATTTTGGGCAAGGTAGTTATTGTGCTTCCAAACACGGTGTTCTAGGTATAACAAAAACGATCGCTGCTGAATATCCATTACACAAAATTCGGTGTAATGCTGTGCTTCCTGGGGCAATAGATACCCCGATGATTAGCTCAATCAACCCTGAATTATTGGAACAAGTGAGAAAAACAATACCTATGGGTCGAATAGGCAAACCTGAGGAAGTTGCAAATGCATGTTTATTCCTGGCATCGGATGAGAGTTCATACGTTAACGGAGCTTGCCTAGAAGTAACTGGTGGAGTAGGTGTTTAAAAGATAACTCGATAAAACGCTTTCTATGAGACACCTCCATTATTGTCTCTTGTCATTTCGAGAGCGATTGATCTCGAACCCGAAAAGATAAGCGAATTGCTGTCTCCAAAGAAGATACAACATGTCAAAAAGTTAAATGTTTAAAATCTTATTGATGTACAAATTATCCATTGCGATATTTTCATTTAAATATAGCATGAAACCTTTTAAATTTTGGAATAAACAATTCTCAAGAATATAAAAAGAGCGTTTATCTAACAAAACATCATAAACGTAATACTATTGGCTGCTTTGTATGTCAAGATATATATTAGTAAAGTGGTAAATTTTAATTAAGATAGGATAGGTAATTATAATATTATCCGTAAACATTTTGCATAACATGCAAATACTTATACTTATTTACTAACATATTTACTCGAAAACTTATTCAACATAATTATTTAACACACACATTTGCCTAACTTACCTACTTCTCTATTAGGCTACCTATTGGAAAATATCATTTTCGATCTTCTTCAGTGAGTTTAGGCAAAATTTCACTTTTTTTCTAAAAAACTCAATAATAATAATAAGAAACGAGTACGAAATTTATTTGAAAATGAAATCGCGCAAATACGTTCAAAAATAAAAAAAAATCGCTTACACACACATTAGAGGAAAAAAAACATAGAGAAAGTAGTATTAGCAGTAGACTATATAAAAACGATTCGGAAATTGTCAATATATATGTACTGGTTGGTAAATTCAATCACTATAGTTTTCTGTTAAAAGTTATTTCGAGTTCGGGGTAGTTGACCGAAGTGGGTTTGGGAAGTTTGTACAGGAAAACTATTTTATCCCACTGATCAATTGTTTACCAGTTTGAGAAAATGGCAATTAGGCATTGACTGGGAAGCAGAATATATTTTTTTATAATATCGATAACATAAGTACAGTAACGTGTTAAAATATCAGACACAGAATAAAATTATTAAAGTATATTATGAAATACAACATACAATGACATAACTATAAAAAAGGTTGACAGACATTTTTGTGGATCAGATTGTAGTTTTGGGTTATTAATCATTCAAAGGTATAAAACTATTAATTTCGTTGTCTTACCAATAAAAGTAATTAGGCTTTTAGCATTCTTTTGTAGCGGAAAACGGCAAAAAAGCATCTGAATATATCCAAATTCGGATGAACTACCTGCAATTATGCAAATCCTGGCGCTCCCGTAGTTTGTGCACAAAGATGGCACACAACCTGATAACACTAACCTGGTACACATACTATGTTCAGGTTGTGCGCCATCTTGGTGCACATTCTACGGGACTACCCAAGTTCCATCCACGTTCAACGAGTGAAATGATTTATGATAACGATCTTTGCTTAGGATGCAAACGTTTCAGTTTCATCGATCTGGTAGCCCATGCTAATGCAACGATAGTTAGATTGAAACGTTTTCCTATTTCTTTGTTGTAGAAACGCGAGGGCAAGTGCGCTGCTCCGGCATGCTTTGTTTTGGGTACCAGTGACCAAATAAATTGTGTCATTTAGTCAGGCTTTATTGTCATCCTTTGCTATGTTTTTTCACATTGCCTGCCTCTTGTTTTTCTTTGTTACTTAACAAATCTTTTTCAAATTCACTCAAAATTACTGGATGCATCCATGGCTTTGCAGGTTTTGGCCCTTGTTCCCTGTGAAGACAAATGCATTTGGTGTAAATGTATGAGAGACCCTGAGTTTGATAACAAAATTCCTAAAAAATTGTATTATTGCCAAATATCGATAATTTGCTACACTGTGGTCAGCGTATTAAAAGTAACAAATAAGCAAACACATTACCTGCATCTATAAATTGTCCCAACTATAATGACGAACACCATCAAAATTCCACATATGACACAGAGAATTATCAGCAGCAGAGATCCAGTCTCTTCTGAAAATAAAAACAATTACTAGACAGAAGTACAATTAATAGATAAAGGTCTCGCAAAATAAAATAACAAGAGAGCATAGCTCAATAATATGAAATATGAAATAGAATAAAACAGCGAAATAAGAGTTTGAGAGAGATTGTAGAACTCCGATGAAATTTGGAAAACAATAATACCCTTCTAGCGACTGAAAATTTGAAATTCAATAGTTTTGGAGACAAGCGATTGCTGGATAACAACAACTATCGACCAACAACAGCAACTTTCTTTCAAAACAATTCATATGACCCATTCGTGCCCAATAAAATTTGCTAGAATGACTAGCCCACGGATTGCATTTTAATTGAATAATTAAAATCGAATATGAAGAAGAATTATCTTCCAACGTCCTAGCTTTCCCATAACTTCGTGAGGTGAGTCTATATATATAAATATACCAAGTTTGAATCTCTGTTTGTATGCGACTGTACCCAAAAGTTTCAGTAATCTAGGACGCTATGCACAAAATTCATGTTCTCTCGAGAATATGTTGTACACAAAGTAGTATAATACAAATCACATGATAAACTCACCAAACACTCCAATTTCCTTCGCATCTGACCAATCAGAACACATTAGTCCGGTTTCATTCTCTGAAAAAGGTAAATAATATATCATTTTAATTGAATTTTGCATTTCATCAAATGTTGCAGTTAGCCCAGTAAAAAATATCTTACTTGTACAGGCTCGCACATGAATAATTCCTGCGTATCCAGTTTTGATTAGGACTGAGGTATTTGTACCATTGTAACTGCATGAAATATCGTTATCTTTTGCAATACAGTTATCATTATTATGTTGAGGTTCATCGAATGTGAGTCTGGAAAAGATTTCAATTTCCATTTTCTTAACGTTATACATATCCATCATATATGGTAGTTTTAAAATCGAAGAATTTTTAGGGACAGACGATTATTACAACAGTAATATTTTTTTACGTATCGATGGCCGGCCGCCTGTACAGAGCTTTGCACGGATTGGAGATGTGAAAAGAAGAAGAATCATGTCAAAAAATAGTTTTTCTGTATTGCTCTATTAAAAATGTTTACAAAACTACCTGGTTTTGATTAAAACTTCATAAACTTCAATTTCCCCATTTGGCTTTCTTGGTGGTTTCCATGAAACGTTTATATCTTCACTTGATGTCCTTGTCACAGATCGTATTTCCGGGGAATCATCAGGTGCTAAAACAATTCCACCACTCAATTGTTTGTTTAAAATACTCTCCATACATACGCCCTTACGAGTGTGTCGCAATTTATAGTTTAAAATATATAGCTAGAACTGGTGAAAATCCAGCTAACATTGGCAATTTCTGCCACAATTTAGTTTTCATATAAAACATATAGATCTTACAAAGATTTATTGCTTCAGAATTGAGCTTTCGTAAAGCATGCAAAATATTTTAAAAACAACTACGTTATTATTTTTGTAAACTATTAGTTTTTTTTGCCAAAGATTATATCATTTAATGAATTTTCACAACTTTTGAGTCCGCTTGGGGACTTTATATTTATATGATTTTTCGTGCCAAAGCCAGCTTTGAAAAGTAACCCAATTTCTGGGGAAACATGGAACTGATGAAGATGGAATGTGGATCCATAACATCATGCCATGGCATAAATTATGGATCGGGTATTCGCTGTTCTGATGTTTGAAAGCAACACTATTTCTCACCATCTTGAAGCGTTTTCACATATATTTCTTTTTGCATTCCAATGCCTGCCTCATTTGTCATTGCCACCTTTATAGCATATCTAGTGTTAGGAGTCAAATCAGTCAGGGATATTATTCTGCTTCTTGTGTTGAATTTTCTAACTAAAAGTAAAAAGATAGAAATCATCGTGACATACGAGACACTCAACATTGGCATAGTGGATACGGTAGCCTAACATACTTGGTTTTACCATGCATATAGTTTTACCTATTCCGTAGTCGTTAATTCGGGCCAACCTTTTCTATATATATAGTTTTTTTTTGCGCCTTGTATTCGAGTGTATAAACCGTCTATTTTTACTGACCGGAGGCATCGAAATCTACTAATTGCAGTTGGTGTCACTCAAACCAATACCACCGTATGGTGTGAATCATATTTTCAATTTTTCTCTACCAGTTCAAATTTTGTAATGAGTACGAGAAATCGTGTGACAGCAGGTTTACCTGTATTTTCCCTTGGTACTTACCTTTATGTTTTTTGCTGTGGTTCAAATATTCAAGCTTCTGGTATTCGATTGTATAATATTGTATTCTACCACAAGAAAGCTTGTCTTTAATTCCTTCATATGTCACTTGCATGGTAATACTTCTTGATGTAATTTTCTTGAACTGATATAACGGTGGTGATTTAGGAACTGTGATATGTTAAACAAATTGATTGTACAAAAAATACACCCGCAATGTGTAATGGCATTGGGAGCTTCGCATACGTGAAACGTAGTCCTATTAGATTCAGCCAAGGAGAGCTCATTGGCCTCATATTGTTTACCCTATTGCGCAGATTATAAAACATGGAGACATGAAAATATCATTCTAGTGTTATATTTCATTTTGGATTTGCTACCTAAATATACTTTGTTGGGTATTAGTTCCATCTGTCGTCATAAATCATACAAAATATTTCGAACAAATATTTACTAAGAAAACCGCATACTTTATGCAAACCTGGTCGCCATTACGCAAACAATTAACGTCAGAAGCAGATATGTTTTATAGCAGTGTAGCCAATTAAACGGGCCTATTGTTACGTTTCACATTTTGCTCATATTTATAATTTTACACTTGTTTTATATCTTGCTATGCCCTTTACTCAAAACTAAAATTCTAGAAAATGAAAGTCAATGCTTTCAAGAATCATGCCTAGTCTTAAAATTGAGTGTTCTTTGAAAAACGCAATTCCGAAGAATTTTACTCCATATTATAAAAGCAAATCATATCACTTTAATTATGAATACTACTATTATATTAGTATTTACCTGACCCACTTGTGAAAGAACTGACAAAACAACAGCTTTGTTCAACACTATAAATTGTAGAACATACTGTGATCTTGTACAGAATACATTCCTGAACATAAATAAGCAAATGATAATATTTTGAATTTTGAGAAGTTCTGAATCCTGAAGGTGACATTGAAGATTTTCCTAACTTTTTTATTGGACACGAAATGTAACCTATGGATCGTTATGCTTTATTGTTGTTGTTGTTCTTGCTGGTGTTATTTTGGTCATAAAGTCATTTTTTGAATTATCAGTTCTTAAAGATGGAAAATTCGCTAAAAATCTAGCTGATATTGCAATGCCCATATGTTTAAGCATGCTCTCTCGTTGAGCTGTTATGTGCGTATGTCCTGTTCTGTTAAGCACTGATATTTATTTTGCCATAAAATCCGAATTACAAGAATATCACAAACGATAGAAAATAAATAAGGTTGCCAACGTCACCAATAACATTCACCAAGACGACTAGCAAACAGATGAAAGATAAGGTCATGGGAACGTCAATAACACTTTCATTCTCCAGAAATTGTGTAAATATATAAAAACTTTTTCATTGATATCACAATAAAATGTATTGTTGGCCAATTGAAGTAGTATGGTCGAAATAAAGTCTCAAATAATTCTATGATTGAATGATTGGAATCTCTGTTTCTACAAGCAAACTGGTTTTCTCGTAGTAATAAAGTTCATCCCTTTTTTGATGGTCCAAATATATTGACATAATTTTCCATTTTACAATTTTGGCAAATTCCTCGTTGACGATTTGTTTCAAATTTTGAAACGACTAATGTTAAATTGTTTTCTTTTAACTATACATATAACTGTACATATAAGTCAAATATAGTAGAACCCCGATACCAGTAGCATTTTAGTTGATCATCAAGTTTTCTGCAAAGTTCTCCGAAAAGGGGTTTTTCAATAGGTTCCAATTTTGGGGTAAAATTTCCGAGTTTTAGAAACTCGTGGGTAATTGAAAACGCACAACTAGTAAGTATGTTGGCGATTTCTTCAATATATTTGCGCCAGAAATCGATTGGTGCATAAATTGCGGAGAACAGCCATTTTTCCAACAACATCCACAAACCCCCCAATAACAATAATTACTAAAATGATCCATATCTACACATCGTGCTCCTCAATAAATATTCCTATACTTTTGTGTATAATCACATTTGAACTCCATTTAATTCTAATGTCAACGACCGATACCCACTTGATGCGTCGTATCATATTTTATGACTCGAATCATATCAGAAAAATGCGTCATCGTAGTTAAGTAAATAAAAACACGTGAATCTCTTTGTTATTTTCCAAACGATAAAAGTGAATTTGATATTACCAATAAATGGCGCAAAGATTACTACGATTTTCATTTTATGTGTTTGGCTCAGTATTTACAAAATACTTACATGCGATTGTTTAGAGACTGTTGCGTAATATTTTTCTCTGTTTCTATATTTAAGGGGTTTTGTGTTCAAGAGTCTCGTCAATACTTCCTCTTTAGGTCGCCAACGATATTTGTGTGTGGAATTTTTTGATTTGCGCTCAAATCGAAAATTAAAAACTATCACCAAAAAGTTCCCTAGTTAACATTTGAGAGGACTACATTAATTCAAAATAATTTACCTGTAAGTTCTTTATATCTTTGACTACATTGCATTTATTATTTTACTTTCGTTTGTTGGCTTTTCAAATGTGGCGCATAAAATAATTGATGGAAACTTGTTGAAAGCAAATAGTGCTTTTATTGAAAAGCACCTGGACACGAAGTGTTAAAAGTCTTTGGAATTATTCATGAAAGTTTGAGATGAGAAACACCAGTTTAAACGTTAAATCAAAATAATATTCGAATCAATATATGTTTTCTACCTTGAGTCTTGTCAGGTTTAATTTCCTCGTACTTGGCTCTAAATTCTGTATTCTGTCAATGACGTTATCATGGTGCTGTAGTTTGACGTCATAATTATACAAGTCGTCTACGTCATCAACATCCCATTGAACTTCGATCCATGATTTTCCTTGTGCAGACAAAGAGCAACGTGGCTGAGCTAAAATGATAAAACAAAATATGATAACAACTAGTTGAAATAAAGTAATTTTGCGGTTGCACGAGGGGCGCGTCATGAATGGAGATATATAATTATGTGTTCTCAAAAAATATTTCTCTTTTTTATTTGCGGATTTCACCCCTTTACTCGGAATAAGGGAATTTTTGAACTGGGGTCGTATTGGCTATCACTACGGCCATTGGGGTTAAATAAACGCCTTATAAAAATTATGGCTCACGAAAAAAACATACAAGAAAGATACATTGAATATGGTTTGATATTTCTATATGTACCAAAGAAGATATTTTTCTTTTTTTTGTTTGGGTTTTCCAAGCCTATACTCCGAATAAAAGAATTTTTGAAATGGGATAGAAGTGTCTCGGCTCTCAAAGTTGTGGCTAGTTATTGTATAGCTTAATAATCGTCCTGCTTATTGGCGATTAAAAATGCATTATAAAAATTGGAATTCACAAAAAACACTTACAAAAAAGATACATTGAATAGAATTTTATTTAGGATTTTTTAATAGAAGAACTTGTTTTGAATGAAGTGTGTTATTAAATTTCCACTCTTATATTTAATAAAAGAAACGTTAACGTGATAATAAAAAATATATATAATATCAGATTGCGATCATTACAATGAAAATATTTATGTTATTCCCACGATATTGGGTGTATTAGCTCTTGTTTACAATCACGCATCTGTGAGCCAAAGCTCTTTGTGAACGATTGATCGGAGAAAATCAAAACAACAGCATACAAACTATAACCTTGAAATGATTATGAGAATCGACTGGCGTTGGAAAGGATTCCTTGTGTGCAATGCTTGGCTGATAAGAAACCAAATTTAAACAACATAAAATAAAGTAAATATATGTTTTTCTGAGTGATAACATGATAAGCCAAATACCAGGCCAAAAAGACCACGATCATGTGCCCACTGAAGGCGAGGGGTCAAAATTGGCTGATTGTGAATTTCCGGTAGGCATGGGCAATGTACATGTATTTTATAATTGTATGGGATTTAATTGTGTTTTTAGAAGAAAAAATTGAAAATTTTCACTATGTACCATATGGCGCCAGGCCGAGTGGCTTCATCATGCCCAGCGCCTTTGGTGCCTGGAAATATTGCGTATGTCAATATTATTGGAGTGAAATCGTCTCCAATAGAATAAATAATGGGATTTCATGGTAATTGATTTTGTTATCGAATTACTTTATTATGCGGAAACGCATGAAGACGGAGAATTCACATCCTGGATCTGATACGTTGAACTTGAGAATGGTACCACCCGGGTTTGATGACCAACTGGAATTGGATCAAGTAGCCAATTGGTGAAGGGATTTTGAAGGGGGGTATGAGTCCGGATATACTCCCACCCGGATATAATATATGTAATATAATGTCTGGGTTTAAATTGCACACAGCCATTAGAACGCATATAGGCGTTTTCCGGGTTCTAAAAATATGAACAAAAACAGTAGAAATTTTTGATTAGACCATTGAGAACAAATATTTTATCTACCAATTCATTTAAAAAAAAAAATTCTCGCTATTCTTAGCTATTCGTATAGGCTAAGTAATTCCGAGACCATGTATTTATATCACCGTGTTTGATAAGGTAAAAAAAAAACTATTGGCATTGAAAAATGTCCCAACAAAAATAATTGGCGCTTCAAAAGTGTAAGCACCTTCGCCTTCTCCACATCAAGTTGTATAAATGGACTGAAACCTATGGGCAGTCCCCGAACTCGTAATATAACGAAAATAAGGAAAATTGAAATAAAATTATAGCCTAACCCTAACCTGGTACATATACTACGAGAGTACCAAATAATTTATTGACTGTATAACACTAGGCATCTTACGAATATACACTTTAAATTAATATTTGCATTCTCGCAATATGATAGGTTCAAAATATAACAATGAAATATTGTTTTATATATAATGGTCGTTTATGTAGTTAAGAGCAATGAGATAAGATATAGCTTTTCCGGTATTTGTAATGCTCTCCATTGGATATTCGACAAATAAAAGTTTGTGTGTAAGCTTCAGTCCTCATACTGTTGAAAGTTTCAGTATATTTAAAAAGAAACCCTACGTTTTTGTAGTTTAGATCCTATAATAGGAGTGTTCGAAAGATCTGCAGGTATGTAACCAGGTGAGCCGTAATACGCATATCTTACTCATTCAACGTATAACGCGCGTGTATAAAATTTGATAACTGTGAAATACCAGTAATTTTTGTACTTTTTAACAGCAACAATAAGTCCAATAAATATTAAAAATAATTATATTTTCGAGTGGTCATTTGTGAGACACATATGTCAGCAACGTGACTAAATAAACTTTATGTATGAATTAAAGCTCCGAGTTGGTCTTAAGGATTTTTCTTAATTTGTTATTTCCACACCTGCGCGGTGTAAAGCGACAATTAATATAAAGGTTGATAGGTCAAAGTGTCACTTTATACCGTTAGCAACGATGTATTTGGCCAAATATTAAATTTGATAAATAGAATAAAAATGATTAAAAAGGTAACAAATGAATTCAAAATATTTCGCGCTGAAGATAAATAGGTTCGAGTTATTGAAATTGTGAAACCCAAATCCATTGCACACTAAAATGAATGCGAACAAATCTCATAGAATATCGCAAGTTAAGTATATTACGAGTAGGTTGCTTGGGTATCTCGAATAAATTTTAGTCTTCTGTGACTCGTTTTCAATAGAACCGTAATAAGTTTGTTGTCGCGATAGGGTGGTATGAAAGGACGAAGGGTTTTACCGATAGTTATTTTGCAAATCTTGTTAACAAAATATAGATTATATGTTTATGAACTTGCCACTAAAAACGTGTGTGGGTCGAGCTATCACACGTCCCTTTTTTTGATAAATTGGCCTTAATTAGGGATACTCTGTTATTGCCTCACGCTCCCATCACTCATTTCTTTTCTATTTTCTTCGATTATGCTTATCTTAGGATAAGTTCAAATAAGCTAGGGCAGGCAGTTTCCCCTTACTTGTTCCAACTTATTCTGAAATACAAGTAATCAAATGAAGGAGACCAGAGAACTAGTGTAGAAAAAATGGTCCTGATTGCTATAAATTTATGTTGTTTAATACTTTAGTTCATTTCATTTAGGTGGTAGGGGAGTGACCGGATAGTTTCTTTGGTTGTTACAAAGGCTGCAGTAATTCACTGTGAACTATGGTATGTATATTTGTCCATATCTAAGCCATACTATACTAGTAACAATTTTCGCCGCCAGCGTATGGTAACAAAACTAATTTCACCCGCGCGATGGGTGGGGTCATTGGGCTCCTCCCACATTTTTGTCCACATTCCATTGGAAAATTTAGTATCTAGTAGAATTCAAACGTTGTGTACATTGCCCACCATAGATTATCATATGTATGACATCTTTACGATAAATTATAACGTACGAATGTAAACACTTGTTACATATGTATGTCAATACGTTTATTCTTTAATTTAAAATATTGTGAATAATATGGCAGCATGTATTTGGATCGAATTGTTAAATTGACATCAATGATTTTTACTCATGTAGATAAATTGCAATAAAATTAATCGGATAAAAATTTTACCACCTGTGAAATTCTGCAATTTATAATGAAATCAGCATATTGCATTTGAAGTGGATTTTGAGTAGAATATGAATTGGAACATTTAGATATACATTTGGATTGAGAAAATTTTGAGAAAGTTTGACCAATGCAGTAGGTCACGCGCACTCATCTAGAAGTAAGGAAGACTCATCCCTCAGCAAAGTTACGGGCGACCCTAAACTGGTGCATTACGCGCCAGAATATGATAATTGACACAAGACTCGAAAAAATGAAATGTATATCTACAGTTTCATGATATTTAAATTGAGAAATGTCACTAAATTGTTTTTACATTATTTCCCTTTGCATGAATTGCAGTCGCAAATTGGGTCGTAAACCAAAATCCGCTTTGCGAATAGATCGTTGGTCAGCAAGACATCTTTATTGTAAATTACATATATATTCCATACCCGGAATTATTCGGCGACGATAACAGTAACAAGAATATTGTAAAAAAATATGCGGCCATCTGCCGCCATCTGTTACAATTGACATTTGCAAATTAAACAAATAAGAATTTAGGAGTGGATCTGACCTGGCGGTTTACATTTTTCCTTTTCGAAGTGAAATCTTGCCGCCTGTGACACTCCACCGCTGTTGTGAGCCGTTATTTCTATATAATATTTCTTCGTTGGTTGAAGGGACTGAATGTGCACATTATGATGTGAATTTCCTCGTTTCGGAATGATTGTTTTATTCGTGATAAATTTTTCTTTGTTTTCATCAAACATTTTCATTTCAAAGTAGTCAATGATGCCCATTTTCTAGAAGAAGAACGGAGTTCCATATATTTATAATCGCGGATTCGTTTGTGATTTGGAAATATGTAAATTAATACAAAACAGAATTGCACTAGAATCATAATAAAAAGACTACGAAATTTCTCTCAAGGGTTTTTAGGAAATTTTGTTATACCTGATGAGCTATTTCCAAAACAATATTGACTTGACTGACCTGAGTTATTTGTTAAGCAATATTCCATGGCTTTTTGTTGAATAATAAATATGTTGTAGTGTTTCTTGATTAACAATGGTAGCATGCCAAGAAATTTAATTAACATACCGTTAAGCAAGACAAAAGTCATAAAACGTCAATAAAGGGTTTTCGCTCAAAATAATATGATCTCCTCATATTTATCAAATAAATTATGGATTAGGAATTCAAGAATAGCTGTTAGGTACATCATTCTCGACCCTAACCAGAATTCCATCTTACAATGAGCTATATGGTTAAATTAGCAAAACGATAATTTATTTGACAATAAGTGCGGTGACATTTCACAACGATATTTTAAGAAACAAGTAAAATGTTTCAAAGGAAAATTCACTCTACTGACCTTCCATGATATGGAGACATTCATACTATTCCCATCTCTATGATATTTGGAACAGCTGAACCGAAGACTTTTCTTGTCTAAAGCTTTGCGTGGTTCTGTGAAAAATAATCAGATAAACCCGATGCCAGATTTTGCTTTCTTCAAACTAATACATAAATCCTAATAACGTTGAATAAAAATGTAAAATTGATTGTACTCACTTGTCACGTGATGAACGCTTACAGGAGAACTGAAGACCTTTTCTGAATGTGTAGTTGCACGTACGGTGATGTTGTATTCTGTTGCCTCTCTTCCCAATATTTCCGGTTTCTTTTCTAGAACAGAAATTGTCTTCGTTCCGTTTCTTATCTGCAATATCATTAAGGATATTTTCATTTCCAAATAAATAAGTAACCTACATGCATTCAAGAATGTATCACGGGGGTATTATATGTCTTATTCGTACAGAATTCTTTCTCTATTTCTTTAACTCTGACTTGGGCACTGAAAGAAGATAGAGATTTCTAGTTGTGCTAATGATATGATCCGTATTTATATTTCTAATTCTTCGTCCGTATAGCATAAAATTCAAGATATTTCAAAAAGACGAAGAACTTTTGAAAATCAAGCTAACAATACTCGATACAACTCGAGCAAATGCATCAGTACAAAGGAATAGAAACTGCTGATTTACTTTACAAACTTGCAAATTTACTCATTAGCATGATAAGTATTTTTGTAATATAAACAGCCACGACAAAAGATCCGAATATTAATAATTTCGCATTGGAGATGTGCCAATATCACTTTTTTGTCGATACCGATTACTACCCAATACCAGCGAGAAAGGGCCGCCCGATACCTATACGCAGATTTCATATTGCCGATATTGCGATACCGATATTTTAATAATATGCAATTAACATCAATGTATAATAACAATGTTCAATATGTGACAATAAAAATATTTTCAGTTGCCAATATCCGTATACCAACATATACAACATATTCCAGATCTTATTAATTAATTAAGCTCAAAATATCGGTCTATTTTTATAGCCTATAGCGTTAAAATTACCATTATTGCGAATGCGGCTCATATTGTCATTACGAATACATCAGTAAAATTCTATTCAGGATACCAATAGCATGATAAACGGTCAAAATTAGGAGATGTGGTCGCTTTTAAATCGAAGTCTGGATCTGATGCTAAATCATGACCTCTGAGATTGATTCATCGGATTAATTGTTAACCAGTCTGCAATTGCTTGCGACACCCAACCAATCATAGCAAGCATCGACACGTTTTATGCTTTTACACTTGTAAAAATCTGTTCCTATGCTGTAAATAGAATCTGAACCTTTCTGACCTTCCGATTTATAACCACAATTGTTTGGAAAACAGTAATTCCATACCTTTAGCAAATACGTTAAAGATGAGTTTTTATTAACACAGGGCCATGGATGATAGATAGCCTTGAATAGCGGATTTGCCGCTAATACCACGTATAAACCAAACTTGAAAGTTGACAAAATGATATCAGGTTTATGATTGCTCGTTTAACGTGTATGTATATCAAAGAGCAGATTGTCTTGAAATAAAGTGTCAGATTGGCTCTTTAAATTCATCCGCATACGATACCATGCCGAGCTATTTTCCTTTTTCGTTTTTATAAATGGAATTAGGTACATTGCAGCACATGGTTTTTATTTATTAAATGAAAGTGCCATAGCCCATAATTATCTTCGATGCCGCATAATATTTATTAGAATTTAAAAAAATCCAATGCTACATTCAATATTCCGGCTTAATCTAACTCAGTGATCCTTTGTTTATTAAGTTTGCAAAAAGTGTGCTACCTCATTCATTCAATAATATTTTCAACCAGGAGTTCTTATTCATCACATTCGACCTGATTTGAATAGTAAGCGGTTCCGGAACAATCAGGAATTTTAGCAAAAAGCAATCGCACGCGGTATTTGCGACTTTTTCAGTTTTCAAAAAATTTGAAAGAAGGGGGATGATTGACTGCACACGCTTATATACACCGATTTTGAGTACAGATTTCGGCCTCCTGTCGATTGTAGTTAAATATTGCATGTTTTTTCAATGAATTTGTCGGTTTGTTATTTTTTGTTCAATTGTAGAATGTTTGTCGCACTACGAAACCAAATATTTGAATATGGCTCAAATCGCTTGGCGTGCCATGAGAAATCCTCTCGCGTGCCACAATTGGCACGCGTGCCAGGGGTTGCCGACTCCTGTCCTATGTCATAGTTCAACTACAGCCAAATACAGCTATAATTACCATTGTTTTTTATGTCAAAAAAGTTTTGGTGCTCGAACAAATCGGTATTCGAACACCAATCCAGAACGAATTATGTTCGACTACCGGAGTATCACTGTATATGCCTACTTTTTCTATATTTCCGACATGCTATTTAATTAAAATAAAAAGACCTTTTCGTAACCTATTTACTTGAATTTCAAATAAATTATTCAAGTAAACTTCTTGGTTTTTCTAAAAACTCCCAATAAACAAGACTATCACTGGGTAATAAAAAAAAAATTTATTTAAAAAGAATAAAAAAGGTTCAAACTTGCCCCATTAGTCCAAGTATATTGGAATTCATATTTCAGCTGATATGTCGCACAAGATGGTTTTTCAATTTCGATATTCAACTTGGAAGAATTGCTCCAACTGATCCCAGTTATTTTGATTGGGTCTGGCTTTGCTGTATGGGAAAAGTAGGATAATATTGCTTAATGATACCCGTGCAGATTTCAATTACCTCATTTACGAAAGAGTTTGGTTCAAATCAAGAGGACCTATTAAATGAATAAATGTCAAATCAGAAACATAGTTTTTCGAATTTTTATTTTATTTTTTATTCAGAATTAAATCCGACATTTCGAAAAAAAATGTACCTAAATTTATGAAACAAATATAAATGAAATTCGTCCAATAGCTTATTACAAATCATATACCCACCATAATTACATATTTGAAAGGAAAATATGTTTTCACAATATTGTACTTTGCCATCATTTAATCTTAGCCAAGCGCTTATGGAGTCTGTATGAGATGTAGAGTCGTCAGAACAATCCACCATATGGAATGTTGAAAGACAGGAGCCAGTTTTTTCGTCGCACTTTGAAACCGATGGTTTGCTGCATGACGTAAATGATTTCGTATTATTTTGATAAGTTCATATAGAAAAGTGAATTTACAATGTGAAGGTACTACAACTTTAATATATATATATATATATATATCATATTGAATACACATTCTTAGGATTTTTAAAATGAAATATGGTAGAAATTGTGGTAATGAAGGCATCACGAGATATATAGGCACCCACATGAATCAATGAATCCAGTAAGTAATGTTACGGGTCCAATCAACAATTTCCCATTACTTGACGAGTATTTTTGAATGCAGACGTACCGGAACGAAATACTTTTTGTATGTTTTTAAAAATGTGGTATAGATACCAAGGCGATAGCTCATTCAGTGCAATTTTTTGAAATGTATACCCATTCCAATCTAAAGTCTGTTATAAAATATTTCGAAAAAATATAAAATATTTTTTTCAGAAGTGTGGTAATCCCTTAAGACTACCCAAATTTATTCGTTTAATGACAAGAGAGCAATGGCCCTAGAGCAGCGAGTTTGCACCGAGACAAGTATGACGGTGGGAGTCAAGCGTAGCAAAATATGAAAGTGTTCCCCATTGATTGAACATTAAAATTTTGGATGAAATTAGGGTCCCATAACACATAAGTTAAAAGAAGAAATTCAAAAAATAATGATAAACGTATATTTTCAAGTACTAAAAATGTGGAATCGATTGGTCTATTAGTAGCGGAAGAAGGCGATTTTTACTTAAACCACAACAACAACAACAACAACGAGGATTTACTAAAACGATCCATATGTGCACTTTATATCCAATAGTATTAGTAGACTTACCATTGTTTTCTGTCTTGACGACTCAAAACCAAGGTATAGTTGTACTTATGCAGCATCGCTGGTGATTCAAAAGTCCAAGAACATTTCACAAAGGCGGTTACAGATGGCTTGTAACCACAATTTCCCAATGCACACGAAGTCCAGCATTTTAGATCGTTTGTGCAGGATGGCTTTCCGAATCCATCTGAAAATTTACCATTATAAAATGAAAAATCATTTATATAATATATATATATATATATATAGTTATTAGAAAAATATATTGAAGGTTCTCCAGAGAATCGATTTATATTTACATAACTATGACTGGTCATAGTTGGACTGGTCAATTGGAATTTGATAAGCTTTTATGTCAGACAAGTTTTCACTCGCCTAGATTTCAAGGTACGTCAACAATTCTTTTTATAGTTTTAGATTTCATGATGAATTTTTCAGATATGTTCCTAGCATTCGGTAAGATTAAATACCTCAGATTATACATTTTTAGGTGTTTACTTCGAACACACTGACTGAAAGGTTTCGGAAAACCTGGAACTAGCCTGAAATCAGGGATTAGAAATTTTCAATTACAGCCCAATCTTCACAACCAAAATATGTAAGGTTGAAATATGTGAATATGTGAGGGCAAAGTTATAAAGACATTATTGTTTTTGAGGGTATTTTTTCATCAGTATTTCGAATAAGTCACTAACTCTGATTATATATTGTTTGTTCAGAAAAATAATATCCGAAAATACCCGAAATAAAAAATAAAATATCCGAAAGGCCTACTGCAGTAAGAAACCTACTCCGTCATAGTGACACCTCATCATTTTTGCCACTGCTGATATTTCCAAAAGTGAGTTCTGACGATCTTACAGATAAGTATTTGAGTGAACAAACAATCTCAAGACAATATGTTTACTTACCTGACAGTGACGTCATGCACGCGATGAATAATACGGGGGAAATTGTCCTAATAGTAGCACAAGTCATTTTGTTTGTCGATACCTCACACCTGTGACACTCCAGAAAACAGTGTACTGTAGTATTAGCTATTTAGTTTTTGGTTTAAAACTTATTGCACTCTAAAAGTTGAACTACGAAAGCAAGAGACAAAATAAGAGTGATAAACCAAATAATGTGGTAAGATACAATTGGCAACACCATCGCAGCTTGACTACGGTAAGTAAGTCTGACAACTGGCAAGTCTTAATAATCTAGAGACCAGACTGTGATACCTCTACTAAGTGTGAAACATTTTGAGACAATCCCGTGATTTTCGATCCGCTATAGGTTTATCATCAAAACACAGGTTAATTTAACTAATAAAGCAGTTTGACGGAATATAAATTCAAAGACTTCTCTTGGCTGTAACTAGCTGTTGTAAAACGTTCTTGCTACTAGCCTTGAATGAATCCAATTTCACAACATTACTGCAATTTCTCGGAAGCCAGCCTCGTTCAACCCTGATTATTATATATAACACGCTCCGTGCGATCCTAAACATCTGACTGCCAAATGAAGGTAGGTTGGTTTATATAAGCATTTTACGAGAATAGTTAATCATTTACCAGCCTTTCACGGAAATCCAGTTTGAATAAATCCACAAGTTATATTTGGAGGTATTTGGTTAGTGGAATAATTTTGTTTTGTGTTTAAACCAAAAAAAAAACAGATATGATTTTTATATCGTTTTCAAATGTGACCAAATTCTTTAAATTTGATATGATTATTGGTCTTAGATTGTAAGAATCAATTTTAATCAAGAAGAGTTCACTGTTTTGCTTTAGGCATAAAGTCATTCTGCCCACAATGAGTACTCGGATTTTGTTCTGCTCGTTTCCCTGAGCATCGATTTCAGTGGCGTAGCCAGCCCCAAATTTTTTTTTTTTGGGGGGGGGGGCAAATTTGAAAATTCTAGAAATTATATTGGGTTTAAGACACCCCTTCTTCAAGCGCGAAACAACAACAGTTTATCAATAAGCAAACTGATTCAAAAATTCAGCTGGCTTTTTGTGGATACAAAAACCATTTTAATAAACAACTTTTTATTTGAAACAACAAATATTAACAACGCAATTTGAATAAGTAAAATACATCGCCCCGATTAAAAGTCCATCCTTCGCTTACCGCCAACTATGCTCGACACAACTCGAATAATTTTTTCCTCGGTGACAGTGAAGCACACACAAATCAGAAAGGCGATTGGACGTCATTGATGAGCGCAGCCATGTCTATACCCGCTTCATGCATGAGAAAGACCGCTCAGCCTCACAGGTGGTTGCTAGTAGCGTCATAACGATCTGAATTGCCGTGTGCACGCTTGGATAATTTCGAGCGCTCAGAAGAAGCCCCTCCAAACATTCGTCTTTAACGTCGGAACTTAAAGAAGTTCTCCACAGTCTCACTTCATTCTGGAGGTTATCCAATAAATACAGACGCTCTACCTCATCCATGTGATTTGGTTTGTTCGGTGGAAGAATTGATAGCAATGAAAAAAATGAAGGGTTATCAATAAACGTATACCGAATAGAGCAGCTCAAGCCGTCGACGTATGGGAGATATACGGAACGTTTAAAATACTGGGATGCTGATCAGCACAGACATTTATCGCGTGATAAACTTGTACTTCGACTACTCTGGGTATTGTCAACTCTTTTCAAGCCAAGCTATTTCACAAAGCTTCTTTGTAAATATTCAATGCAATTTCCGAGTCATTGCGTTCCTCAGCGATAACGCTCTGAAGAGAGGATGTGAGGTTCTTTACTGACGGCACACTGACTCCGACCGCCTGAAGTGCGCGCTAGTGGCTCCATCAGTGCCGAATATCGACCAATCAAACATACGGCGTAGATAACGGAAGATTTTTCCCAGAGCAGATTTCAGAGAGAAAGCCTTCGCCCGCGTCTCACTGTTAGCATCTCTCGCCAAAGAATCAAGAGCCTCAAGTACTCGTTTGAAGTTGCATTTGAAGATTCGGATGCTCTTGTACTTCTCAGACCATCTGGTGGGGCAGAACAAAGGGATGTTAATTCCTGAACACGCGCGCCTTTTAGGGCTCTCCCTGAAAAAACGAATAGTCTCCCGAATGATATCACAGGTGCTTCTGATGATTGCAATTTTACCTTGGTCATTTATGACCAAATTCAAACAATGAGAAGCGCAGTGCACAAATATTGCGCGCGGGTATTTATCACAAATGCGTTTTTGCACACCGCTGACGTGACCTACCATTGTCGTTGCACCATCATAGCCTTGCCCCACAAAACTTTGCAAATTCACTCCTATACCAGAGAGGTGGGTCAAAATATTTGAGGAAATTGACTCGGCAGAAACGGAATCCATTTCCACTAATCATGTGAAGCGCTCGCACACTCTACCACCTTTAACGTACCTCAAAACGATGCTTAGTTGTTCTTTCCCAGAAATATCACATTATTCGTCGGCTATGACGGACACAAACGATTTATTAGCCTCCATAACGATATCTTGCACTATCATGTTGCTTGCTACCTTGAGAATTTCATTCTGTATCATCGGGCTTCCTTTCTGTATACTTGGCGTTTCCGACCATTCGAGCGAAACGCCTTTTCAAATCTTCATCCCCTGCGTCGATACGAAATAGAAGAAGGTTCACAAAATTCCCACTATTCCCGGAATGTCCACGCAAGGGTATGTTAGCCGAAGCACAGAACATGACAGTTTGACAAATTTTTCGCAGCTATAGTTGATTCTCGGTGGTAATATGTGTCTCGGTGGGCTACAGTATTTTCCATAAGAGCCAACGGTCCAGTCTTTGTGACGTAACAATGACAATCAGCAAGCGCGACGAGACAAGATTGCCACAAAACTGGTGGATTAATTAAGAATGGAATGTGCGTATATTTTTAGAGGGGCATTCTATTTCCCACCAGCAACTCCCCAGTTTCCCACTAGTGGGAACCACTGGACTAAAATCAGCTATCTGTAGTATAAGCGGTGTTTAATTGTTTTGAATAATAATATTATCTTTGAACATGTGAGCCAGTTTGTAAGCGCCAACACTCCAAAACACTCTCTAAATCTACGGTGAAAACTTTGCAATGATAACATATAAAGAGAACTTTCAGGGATCAAGCGTCGAGGAAACGTCCAATATTAGAAATATAGTAAGGTATCATCACAGATTTTACATAACTAGTAGTATATAGCAGTATAAATGTTGAGGCATGCACAAAAAAGGCATCAAGCAATACCTCACTCACAAAGACAGAGCATGGAGCGCATTCTTTTTTGACATATTGAAGATGAAATATCGACAGCAGTCTCTGTAAACAAAAATTGGAGACAAGTCAATAACTGCTTGCATCAATTTTTCCATTTTCATCAAAACTTACACTAGTGAAAAACAACATTTTTCGGTTTAGTATTGAAAACTGTATTTTTTCATTAGAATTTGGAATATATTTATAAAACATTTTATCAGTACAATACACATGCATCGACCGTCAATTATTGTACATATATATATCTTAAAATGTTTGACAATGTCATTCTATTTTTCTTACCCCAAGTATTGTTCAATCTCACCAATTTCTAACAGCAAAAAGGATACAAACACAACTTTACACCTGTTCTGAATATATCCGATGTTCAGTTTCCCCATTGTTATTAGAAAAACTGAACATGCAGACTAACTGCACAGCAGCGTGTTGAACAGTTATTCTGGTTCACTAAAACTGAATGATGAATATCTGCAAACCAACTACATTACCTATTTGTAAACCAGCTGCGTTTTAACATTCTAACATACCGTATGGAGTAATTTAATGTCCTGGTGCAACTGGATATGAATACCGAATGAGCAAACTATATGATTTAAAACACCGATAACTAAATTAATTTTGAAGCAAAACTTCGTACGGAGAACGAATTGATTGCAGTTGTCTTGCTAATTTGGTCCAAAGCTGTTTCTGGCATAGGTCCGTTGGTACCGGTACAGTGCCTCACCATTTAATAAGGCTTGATGATATTTTGAACAGATGCTTTTCGTGTGATGATCTTCCGGTATATCCTACCATTAACGCCTTTCTTTACCACTTCCCACAGACTGTTCTCTATTATTACAAAGATTCTTCAAGGTTTTCTAAAACGCCACCCCACCCGCGTTCCGCTGCAAAAAAGTTGTACAAACGACGGTAAGTAGCAAACTACCACTAGATGTCAGATAGTGACCAACAGATTCACGTTAAATTAAAAAAAATAAACAAAGGCAACTTGACGTCCTGTTGTTATGCATTGTCTCTGGTATCATCGTTGGTAACATTCCTTTTTGTTCTAACCAGAAGCACAGGAAAATGTAACTGGGAGCTCAAATATTACCACAGAAAGTCCAGCCGCAGTAAAATACAACGGGAGTGAACCAAAACATTAGTTAAACCTCTTTGGACTGCCCAAAAATATACTCCAAACATCGTTCCATTTCATGTTTGTTATAATTTTTATTCTGGGAATTTTTGTTTGTCACGTAGGATACTACATACATGGAGTCCTCGGGTTACGACGGTCGCGACTTACGATGTTTCGAGGTTACAAACGCGCACTCCATAACGCTGTTTCGAGGTTACGAACGCACTTTACGAACATATACAGATATAAAAGATAATACTGTACTGTAATATCTAAGCCTATAAACTGGATCATTGTGATCAAGAAAATCAGTGCTCTGGGCTCATTGGTTTTCGTTATTTACATCGTAAATGACGTGACCAATTGCGAACTATTACGATTATGAACGTATAATCACTAAGCTTCAGTCACATGGTACAGTACAGTACTGTACGTACACAGTTCCAGTGATACAGTAATGTACACAGTTTCAGTGATACTGTACGTCATTTTGGTTGTTTAAGCTGGTTTTTTCGTAACTTTTTTGATCGTTTTTTTTTTACTTTTGCCCTTTGTTATGGACTCAACACAAAAAAAGATGTTAAGATACTGTACAGTGTTTGCTTTTATTCACGTGTTGTGGAATTTTTTATCTGTTTTTCTGATAAAGTTCGCATTATTTGTACATTTTATTAGTGTACAGTACCATACTTTACAATACAGTACGATGTGTATAGAGTAATTCATGCACTGTACCACTGTACAGTATAATGTTCCGACTTACACTGAAATTCGGGTTACACAGAGTCTCAGAAACGGAACTGCGTCGTAAGTCGAGGACTCCCTGTATTATTGATATAACTGGCAACCGTATTTTTGATAGTCAATTTAACGATATTCCATTCAAAATGTGATGTCATAATAAGCAAAGTAAGATCACCGGGTAATTTCCCAAAAAGGCCCAGGATGACTTGCGCTTGCGCAGCCTCGTGCAATTTGTGACAGCAAAAGTTGTTTGAAAATCATAGTAATCTTCGACATATGCTGAATTGTTTAAGAGTACTGCTTCGAAGCCAATGAGGAAAATGCAACTTCAAGCTCTATCGAAAGCGTTTATTTTTTCGATTTTATTTTGCGTTGCCGAAAACGCAGACGCCGATGCCAGTAAATTTGGAAATGAAATTATAACCATTACAAATAAGATTCTGGGAGCAACAGCTTTTAAAAATCACTTAGCTGAGGATGAAAAATTTGGAAATGAACAATTGAAGGGTGATTCCATTGTGAAAGAGCTTGCAAATAACATCGAAAATAAGATTTCGTCGAGAGAGAAAGCAATAAAACATCTCAAAGACGCGGTCATTGATTCTTACAATAAATCGTCTTGGGGACAGTACACTGAATGTTGCCAATATAGCGATTTTGATTTGAATTTGGCGTACGATGGGAGATTTCTTGGAAAGGTGAGTGATATGTGATAACGTTGCCTGTATTTCAGATCACTAGAACAGGATATTTATGAGTATGTAACTTACTGAACTGAAACACTAAAAAAGTTAATTGTAACACTGTAAGACGATGGGAATTATTATACCGGTACTTATATCGGACTTCAAATACCGCTAAAACTCAGCACGGATTTTGTCAAAATTTTCATTGTTTATATTTGCAACTGTAAATTTCAACCAATATATTGTATACATGGTAATCAAATGAAGTGTGACTAGCCAAAATATACGCTTTGGTGAATCCTAGCTTATGCGATTTTTGAGTTTCAACAACGTGGACCGAATCGCTGTTTATAATGCTCAAATTTCATATATTCCTATGCGATCTTATAGGTTGATACAAACTCCTTGTGTACGATGAAATCTTCAATTGCAACAAAAATTCACGAAGTTCCTGATGACGATTTCCTAAAATCTTCCTTGGAAAATCTAGAAAATTATCCAGGAATCAAATCGCAATATTTCGGCAGTGACAGTGGAACATTGCTGAATTTCCCAGCGTCTTCAGTACCCAATTGTGGATCGTACGATAACAGGTTTAGACCGTGGTGAGTGAACAAAATGGGGCGATTTATATTTCGTAATCATCACAGCAAATCAGCACCTTAAGCACAGAAAGTCGCTTGCTTTTAACAATTGAGTTCAAGTCTAAGTGAGTCTGGTAGTGCGAAGTGTAATAATAATAAGAACTTGGTATTGTTAGGTTAAGGCAGTGGTTCCCAAACTGTGGGTGAAGGTTTTCCAGGGTCGCCTAATTGCTTTCCAACATGGCGCCAAAATTGCTCGGTAAAACTTTCATGCTGCGAGAAATTATGTTGGGTTGTGATTTTGTACAAGTGTAGCCGCTTGGTTATCGAAAATACAAAGTAAATTGCTTTATTCGGCGATTGGACCTTTATCAGGTGTTTGACAAGTGACAAGCGGGTCTTGACCGAGTAATTATTAACCTTTAGGTTTCGATCATTTGCGAGAGCGCTTTGTTAATTCGCGCACGAGTCTAAAATCTACGAGTAGGTTGTGTGTTTTGTCCACCCCGCCTCCACATAAAAGTAAACATTTTCGTATCGCAATATTACGTATTTAGATGTTTCATACAAAATTTCAAAGCGTTCCGAGCAGTCAAACACAAAACCACAACAAGTTCTAGCATAATAAAGGCACTTTGGAGAGGTGATTCCGTACACTCCTTTTTTTTATTTTACATTCATGCTCTGTTTTGCTTTTGAATTAATAAATGAGCAATCTGTAATATGTTAATATAGAACTAAAAATAATAAAGACGTTGTTGGAATATACAAAATAAGATTTTGAGTTAATGTATATTTAAAAACAATCTTACTATTTCCAAATATCGTACGCGTCCTTACAATCTACCGCGTTTTATTAAGTACTTCTATGTTTCGCCAAAGAATTGTTATAATTCTGATCTAAGAGATTATTACACCGTGGTTTTCATACGATTCCATGTGTTATCAAATCTTCTGAGGTTTCCCCGTTTTTCCGGCGCATTGCCGGAATCGTTCATATATTTTTTGGGCCAATGTTCACCGTCAACGTCTACTAGTAGTTGATATACAGATATAATATATTAGATATTAATTTTGGAAGTTGCTGAACATTTCCAGTTGTGGGGTCGCGAGTATCTGTAGGGTTTGATTTTATGAAAATTGGGGTCGCGAATATAAAAGTTTGGGAACCACTGTGTTAAAGTATAAATTAACGTGTTTTACCTGGTTGATAGAGCACAGTGCTATGTCTATTTCACTCGGCATTTTCCTTCCGTTCAGTACTTACAAGGGTTCTATTTTCAATAATTGCTCATTCAATTTGCTGAATAGACCCATTTTTTATGGCTATATATTTCCTTCTGATTATGATATAGGTATGTTCAAGCAAGCGCTCCAATTCCAAAAGACACCGTGATACTGATTGACATGTCTGGTTCAATGGAGAAAGAAAATCGTATGATTGCTGCAATACATGCAGCTAACACTATACTATCGAGTCTCACACCCGATGATAGAGTGGCAGTAATTGGATTCTCCGATTATGCTTACGCCGTTGGGTCAGATATTGCAGGAGAGGCAATTTCACACAAAAATTACAACGGGTATCAAAAGAAGTAAGATTTATTTTCAGAAACATTTAAAGTAAATAAGCTGCTTATAACATGATAATTTCGGACCAGGATTTTTCGAGAAAAAATTTACAAATTAAAAATATAGAATGCAAATTTTTTAAACAACTTACTGTGCTGACTGTTCGTTCCCTTTTTCAACTAATTGTATTACCAATATCATAACATTCACAAGTTAATACAAATAATAATATAACTATATCTACATAATAATATAACTTGTTTAGATAATTCAGTGTTTGATTTTTTAACTTGTGATTGATCAAATAATTTCATTAGCTTGATTAGATCAGAAAGAATCAAAACTATATTTTTCTACGAAATGTTACCCACCCTTGCGTGACCCAATAAAATAAGAAATATGGTTGCTTTAAATGCGGTTATAGGTAAAAGATTGTCTGAGTCCATAGCTTTGAAACATTCGTGGAAAATAATATTTATAAGAATATTACATAATCTCATACGTTTTTATATGAAGACAAGGTACCCCGACATGCTACGATAATACCATGATGGATGCTACACCAAGAAATATACATCATTTAACAAAGGCTGTGTCTGGAATGGTGTCACATGGTGGTACGAATTATACAACAGGCCTTATAATGGCTTTCAAGTTCCTATACAATGCACTGGAAAGTGACGTCACGTCGTCATGTGGTGTTGGGTATGTTCGGTTTGTATGTTTCAGTCTTTCGTCGAATAGGAACTGTTCAATGCCACTTTGTGTTTATAGGTAAATTGTAACGATGGGCGCTCATTGGTTAGATTGCTGAGTCTAACAAACTGAGCGTCACGGGTTATCGGTTTCAAACTTCACGTAAAAGGAAGGGTACATTGTATTGAGTAGGAAATGCGGAAGCGAAAATATCCGGAACCTTCCAAAATAGCAACTTGTACATAGCATTGTTTGAAGTGAAGGCGTGAGGACTCCTCATGTTAGTGTTGTAGTTAAAAGATTTCGAATGACTCTGTTCATTTTCAGCCTAATTTTTGAACATTCATAGTAGTTGGAATATTACTCTACTTTAACTTTTCTACGAAAATACTGAACCAGTCGATTCCTGGACCTAAAATAGAAGAAGTGGCTAGAAAGCCTTTACTGTTATGTATTTTTCTCGTTGTCCATCGCAGCAAATTTTGCTTGTTTTTTATATCACACAAGCACACATGACATTCGTTAAAATCCATAAACCTGGGGCATAACATCGAACAAAATTTTACTGACACTGCGGTTGACATTAAGCATTACTCTCTCTCATTATACTGAAGAGCTTCTCAGTCTAATGCGATAATTAACTTTCTTCTAGAAAATCGACACCAAGGGAAATTGCATATTCACGGCATCGAAGTATTATTTTTCTTTCGGACGGTAAGCCAAGCGATCGTCCTATCGGGATATTAGATCTCATTTACAAACGAAATAAAGATATGCATAACAGCGTTGTTCTCCTATGTTATGCACTTGGTAAAGGAACATTCGGTCATTTTATCGAAACAATGTCTCGGCAAGATCACGTGCCACGTGACGTAGAAAAGTGTAAAGAGGTGAGATATTAATTTGAGAAACATAAGTTTTTTGTTATCATTTCATCATTTCAGAAGTACAATATAATATACTTTTGTGAAAATCTGACCATAACTAATAATAGTAAATAAAGAAAAATATTACTTTACAATGCCATGTCTATGTTTCAGTCTGAAGATGTAGCATTGTGTCATCCTAGTGGTGCGAAGTCATGTGACCTGCCGTCACCACGTAAAGGTTTATTTCGACAAGTAACTGACAGTCAATATCTAAGATCTGAGATGGGATCTTACTACAACTATTTTGCTACTGTATCAAACAAGGTGAAATAGTTCATTTTTTATTGTGATTGTTTTTCTACAAAGCGAAAAATTCGATCTTCATCGTTGTCACGTGGCCTATTGGTTAAAGAGCGTTAGACTTAAGGATAATGGTACGATGAGGTAAAAATCTCGGTTTCAAACCTATGCCCACCAATTTGCCCATAGTGTAATGAATTGGTTAAATGGACAACCGCAAAGCTACGTATGAGTACCTGCTTTTACATAGCATTGTTCCAAGTGAGGGCGTGAAACGTAGTATAAAAAATTGTTATGATTGTGGAGAATTTGACCGAAACATTTTTGATTATCGAAGTTCCGTCGTTCTAACATCCTGAGTGTATTTTTAGCCTCCAGAATAATTTTTTGCGATATTTCAGAATTCGAACGATGTAATATGGAGCGTTCCATACTATGATGCTGGTGGAATGGGAATGATTGTTACTGCAGCATCTTCAATTGTAATGGGAGGTCAGGAAAGTTATTTTTATTTCGAAAGCCCCGTTTTAAATGAAATTTATGTATTTCTATTCCACGCGTTCTAATCGATTTAATAAAACTATGGGTAAAGTTGAAAACATACTTCTCATTTTATTCTCGGTATATCCGTGGATGATAAATATCTGTCATTCAATTTTCAATCGTGATCATTCAATTTGGGCTGAATAATTATATTTCCTCTTTTCGGTTGCATAATAAAGTAGACATTTACTATAACGTTACATGTGTTCGTTAGAATAAGAATGATCGCAACCGCTTGAAGTCCGTGGCATTGACAGATAAGTAGCTTATGTAATACCTCAGCATATAGTCACACGTATTCGAAAATCCCAACGAATTGGTTGATGTGCTTGAAATAACGGTAGGGAATTCCGGATGGCATAAAAGGCATTTTGCAACCGCTCAATCTACATCTGGAAATGCGAAGTTTAATAATTAAATCCAGCGTTTTGAGTGGTGTTTACATTTACTCACGGACGATAAAACTATAGTCATCTGATACAGGGATTCAAAATCCAAAATCAATAGGCTTCTGGTCCGACATATGATGAATGCACATGCAAAATCTGGAGCAGATTCAATCTCGCTTTCGTGAGATATTGCGTGCATCTAACAGACAGACAGACAAATACCTATCAGCATACATACCGATTAAAATCGATAAGTAATAATAACGTAGATGTATTTTTGCTTGAAATACATATCAATGTTTGAAAACATTAAAATATGCAATGCCATCTAAGCGTTCCCTTTCGGAAAACGTTTTCAATATTCTTTCGATTGAAAAACAAATTTAGTGAATTTACAGATAGACTGGTCGGGGTCGTCGGAACTGATTTATCTATGAGAGAAATGATGGCTGAAGTGACGTATTTTCACGCTGGTGGTCAAGCAAGCTATGCCTTTGTGATGGACAAAACTGGACGTGTACTGCTCCATCCACATTTGCCCTCACCATCGAGTGTAAAAGATGACCCAGTTTTGACTGAAATTGGCGCTTTCGAAAGAACCAAAGAAGTGAAACAGTTTTTGGAATCTGTATTAGATGACGAGAATGAGAATGAGAAAGATTTGCCAGTTGATGAAGCTAAGATATATAGAAAGTCAGTCAACACGAAAAGGGTGATACCGCAGGTAATTTTTAGATTTGTGTAGAAATGTGCATTTCTAAATAGCGAGGATTAGAAATAGTTATACGTATAGTCATTTTTAGAAACAACTACGATATTTCTTAGATTTTGAGCTGCAGAATGCAAAAAATATTAATTTTGATCGTCTGTGTTATCAAACTTATTTCCATGATCAAGTCGCTTGATTTAATTTTTTGAACATTCATTATTTTTACTGTATGACGTTTAATAAATATATTGTTAAAAATATGGTTAATTGAACTTGAAAATTTCTGTAAATAAAGATAAAAGAAGACTATTGTTCTCAACGTACATTCACCGCTCTGTCGGATTTGAAATTCTTGTTTTCCCCTTATTTAGTATAAAACTCAGTTTTAATTTTCGTTTAATCTTCAATATGCCATAAGATAGTAATATTCACAGCTCGCATGCTGCGTTTTTTAAGATTTGAATGGTTTGTATTGTGCAGATCAATATTCATTGCAATAATACGAAATAAGTAATACTACTCACACATTGAAATCATAGTTTCTCTCACTAACAAAATAAAAGTTCTTGGGGATGAATACCTTCCCGGTTGAAATCGCTGCATTAGTGCTATGTTATCTAGGATTGTGATCTGAAAGTTGGCTTGTAGGTATACATATGATATAACAGTCAAAAACGTATCTTATTTTAGGAGCACAGAAATGTCGAGACTCGAGATGCTTACTTGAGTTATTCTTGTATGAAAATTCGTCATCTTATTGTGTGTGTCGTCATAGAAGATGATGTTGCGTCACAATTAAAATTTACTCCACAAGATTTACCTCCAGATTTCGAGTTTCTATATCACAGGTACACTATGGGATCGGGTATATATTTTTGTCTAGTGAATAAGACGTTCTTATATATCAATAACTGATTATACGAAGCCTTGTTCAGTGACAAACGTGATATAAAAATTCATGTAAAATTAACTATTTCTATACAAAAATGTGAAGCAAACTAACTTTATATTATAGACTGTTATTAATGTACGCTGAAACTCGAAGTCTGCTATGCAGAACGTGCATCCATTCCAATCTTTTTGTCCGAAACTGTTTTCTCGTATTGTGACGTCATTTGATCACGAGGAACTGAGAAATGTCAGATATCATTGGTATTTATCGGTGCTGCCGTTCCTAATACAATAATGTGATATTTATCTAAAAATATATTTGTTTGATTTCTTACAAAACTTACGCCCAATGGACGTTTTTATCAAATATTATTCCGCTGTAGGTTTGAAAGTCCTGAACACGATTTGAATTGACTCGAAGTTTGTCATTTGCGGACTTAATTTATATATTATCTTTATCTTTCAGATCAATGATACATTACTATTAGTTGGAGTTACGCGAATATTTGCGCGGGAGTTATTTATCTCATGTTCTTTAGATTTGTGCCTGTGTATCCGTATGCGTATAACTCTTGAATGACTTCGAATATACCTCTTAATTTATTCTACATCATTCTTACATTCAAGTCTTTGAAGCCGAAGTTTTGCATGTTTTCAATGGAGTCGAATCATGAGTCTTGCTTTTAAACTCGCCGAAGTTGAAAATCATATTTGCAGACTCTCAATAGTGGTAAAACAGAGTTGAAATCTTCCGTAAAAACTCAACAACTTTAAAGTTTAGTCAGCGTTATTAACAGTCTGATAAAGAAGACTTGTATATCCCTCGTTTTTTTGTTGTTTGTTATTAAAAATGATTTTCTCGGAGTTCGGAACAAGTCGGAGACAACAACCTGGACAGAAGTTGGAGTCTAATTTTACTTTTACTTTTTCAATCCGGATTGACGATTCGGAATCAATTGTAAATTCAACCTGGTTAGGATTTGGAGTCAAATTTTACCTTTCCTTTTTCAATCCGGATTCACGATTCGGAATCAATTGTAAATTCAACCTGATTAGGAGTTGGAGTCAAATTTTACCATTTCTTTTTCAATCTGGATTCACGATTTGGAATCAATTTTAAAACTTGAATCACATACCTAATGTTGATGAATTATACTATAAAGTAAAATTGAATATTTTAGGTTCGACGTTTCTCCCCCTGCTCAGTTGTGCCAGTATCACGGTAGTTTATCAAGTGGTGCAAAGTCAACGGTGTTTCTTGCGCCATCTTCATTCGTAAATATTGGGAAACATCTCGGACAACCTGAAACATCAGAATGGGTTTCTGAATTAAAGGCGTACATGTACGATGCTAAAAAAATTAACTTGGGGCGGACGCCTGAAGAGATTGCCGCTCAAGTTAACCTGAAGCTAGGTATAAGAGATGCTGTCAGAGTCACTGCAAAGTAAGTTTTCCGTGTTTTTAAGGCCACAATTTTAGGTACAAATACTACGGGAATCACTTGGCTATAGTCCCCGAACTCGTAATACAGGTACAATAAGGAGAAATGGAATAAAATTATAGCCTAGTTCTAACCTGGTACACATAGTCACATACTACGTTCCGGTGTCCGCCATCTTGGTTCATATATTTCGGGAGTACCCAAAAATTAGCTCACTCTTTTTTCTCAAGTTATTTTCCAACACTCCTTGTGGTATTTACGTTCAGGCTGGACAAGATATGGAAAGATCAATTAGGCAATACAACAAAACAAGCAGGAGACGAGTCATCGGATAATGATTTACGTCGAAGCGTTATTTATCGATATTTTTCTTCTGAAAATGGAATGTTTCGCATCTTTCCAGGAACTCAAATGCCTAAAACATACAATCCCATTCATAGACCGTGGTATCAACAAGCGAAAGCCTTGCTAACAGGAGAATATATTATGGGAAAGGCATGAAATTTTTGTGACATATTTTCAAAGCCCGCTAATAGAGGTTCTGTGCTAGAATACGTTATCAAATTTTTTTTTTGTTATTTCTTACTTCTGATGTATACCTGGCAGCATTGGATGAAATGTATTTCAGGTATCATGAAAACCATTATCTAATAGCATCCTCACATTAAGGACTTACCCAATGTTAGCTTACGACTGGTTCTATCAATACTCATTACGCTTGTTATTCAGGGCTCGAAACGTTTGAGTAAAATTGAATTGAAAAAAAACGACACACAATGCTCACTCGAAGTTGTTTTTCATAAATTCAGAAATGTGAATCTTCAAATAGTGGTGACAATTGTGGTGACGCCGCTGCGGTGTCACCACCATATTTGGACGCCTCAGGTGCCGGTGTAGTGGTAACGATCACGCAACCTATTGTGGTATCGGCAACAAAAGATACGGATAAGGTATCTAAGCAAGTTGTTGGTGTTATGGGAGGTGACATGCGGATCCGATTTCTTGAAAGTATCCTGAGATCAACAGTCAAAGATTGTAAAAGAGACTCCGGTTTTGAGTGCATTTTGATAGATTTGGCGGGTAAGATTATGTTTGAAAAATGACTAAATGGTACAGATTTACATTCATGTAAACGTGCGGCAAGACTCTTGAATCCCATAAAAATAGTCATCTTAATTCTTGCTACAGCATCCTTGCATCATACGCATACCTATACAACAGCACAAGGGCATAGAGAAATAATCAGACGAATTAACAAGGTTGAAATATATGGTTACGGAGATAAAATGTTCCCATGAATTAAAACAGAACGGTTAAATGATGGTGGGTAAAATATCAAGCGCCATGCTCATCGAAAGAACTAAAAAAATTATTATATTCCTAGTGGCTTCAACCATCTTTACGTACTAAAAATTTATAATCGACTGGTGAAGTAGTTGCCGAAAATAAAAAAAAATTTCACAACAACCCCTAGCCACATCACAAGACAATTAAGAACAACAATTCATATGTACATTTCGTGTCCAATAAAAGACATATTGGCGTCGACATATTATTTGTATGTATTGTGTTATTTTAATACGATATTTTTTAGTAATCAATAAATAATTTTTCCCGACCTTTTTTGCAGGCTATGTTATATTCGACAACGCTCTTGCTGGAATGGATGATGCAGCCATTGAACAAATTGTAAAAACCAATTATCACGTGACTTCTGCACATAGAGTTATAGCAGACGAACTTGTCCGTTTAGGTATTCTGGTGAGACAACAATGTGTAGATGTATCACAGGTTGGTGTTAATATTTATGTTAGATTTGACCTCACACGCCTCACACTTTCGTTCATTTATATTTCTCTATTATATATATTAACAATTCCAGACGAATTATGTTCTATCTTTATTATCTTAATTTCCTGTTGACAGTGACTCGTTATTGCGCCATAGTGAAGACATAGGGAGTGAAACTTTTTCCCCGGGTTTTGAGATAACGCTTTTCTGATACTTTGTTCTATACCAGTGCTCCGCAACCTTTTTTAACTTGCGGCACACTTATAAAACTTGCCAAATTTGACGGCACACCACAACAAACGAAAAATACAAGGTGTAACTCTGTTTTATGTTCATATAACAATGAGAGATTTGTGGTTGTTTTAATGAGCACAGTCGCTTAATATTAGGATCATTGCGTGACGCGCAATCAATTTTGCAACACGATAACTAGCTTCTAATGCTTCTTCGGAGACTGTAAAAGACGACTTCACAGAGCACTCTTGCTTCTTATTTTGACTTAACAACCGCTGGAAATAATTTATATTCTTGCGTGCATGAACGGCATGTTGCGTATTTAGGTGGCGCATAAGTACACTCGGAAACATTGCTTCATTTGAAAGTTGCTCCCCCCAATTAACCCAGCTTGGTTTTGGAGCGTCTCCGTTACCACAGCAAGAATATCCATATTTGACGTAATCTTCCCTGTATTTTCATTTGACAAGTTTTTTTTTTCAACGTTGCTACAATATGGTACATATACAGGTACAATATGATTGCTCAGTATCAGCCGTTCTTTTTAAAAATTTATCCATTTTGCTAAACTTTAATTAACGTTCCTTGACTTTTTTAATCAAAGACCACTGGGCACTGATTCTGCAAACTCACACTTTATTTATATTCGATTACTACACGTGCTATGTTTTAGCCTCGACAATAGGCTTTACAATATACATGCTTATCATATAGGCCTACTCCTTGTTACGTCACAAATGCACAGTGGGGGGTGTCAGGAATTTGAGTTGATGTCGCTCAAGCTAACGTAAAAGCAGGTTAACTTTGCGTTATTAGAGTAGAGTGGTAGACTAACCCAAAATTAACAAAAGATAAAAAATAATTTGTAAAAAGAAGAGAAAAGGTGAAATTCCTGTGCGGCACACCTGGCATCGTCTCGCGACACTCCGGTTGCGGAGCACTGTTCTATACGGCACTGTGGGATTGCGAAAGTGTCGTTTAGTATTGAGATTTGTCTTGAATATAGTTTGCATTAGGGGTGCGGGTTTCGTGAAATCTGTTATATTAATTTAGCTCAGTTAGGTCCTATTTAGTATTGTCTATTATTGCTTGTTATTGTCTATTATTGCTTATTTCTAGTGCATCCGTGTCGTTATAAATTAGTTTTATCGTTGGTCTTCAAGTTTCTGTGCTGTAGCAACATTTTACTAATATGTGGAGTTCGTTTTCTATAGATCTCGTTCCTCTTTACTTTGGTTGTGCAGTTACTAGAAACTGGGAGATTGCGCATAATTCTTCAAGGCGGATGCGGGTGCAAATAGGACTCCACTACAACAACGTTGAGTGGATAGGAATTCACGTTCCAACTTTACAATTTAATTGTTTGAAGAATGAGCCAAGTTTTCTAAATTATCGTCGCTGCCGTTCCGTCCCCCGAGTTTTTCTCAATTTATTTCTTACTCTGGATTGGTTAGACTAAACGTAGACTAAATTCCTGAATTTACCAACTCATAAATACAGATGAAAGGTAGATGTCAATACCACAAAAATGATATATATTCAATCCACTAATAAATGACGTATAATATGATCATTATATATGTTTTAAATGATATTTTATGTACTTTTTTCCTCATTAAAAGGTTTTGTCGAGGTGCGCGATTGACTATCATTATTAGGTAACTGTAAAAAACTTTCTCTTCGAAATTTGTATACTCTTTTCTGTTATCTTATAATTCATTCTTCATAATTTTAAACTTCAATTTCGACCTACAGATCGTTTGGATAAATTGTAGCTGTTCTTGTTGGGTTGCGGTTATGGTTTGTTGCTTCCGCTTCTTTCGCAATTGATTTTGAATTTATCAGTACTAATAGATGGAGAAGTACCGTATTATATATTTTTAATTTTTCCTGAGTCCTATTGGTCCCGGTATTCCACTCCCAAATTTACTTCAAGGGAACCTTGTTATATGACATCTGGCACGCGTTTCCATATGACATTCGGTCAAATTCTTTTACTTCATTCACTCATCGTGCCCATATATTTGAGCATTCCTCTCTCTTGTACAGTTGAAGGAAAATAAAAGTTGAACTTCGTTTTTAAATATTTTACACATTTGAAACTTTTTCTTGATGTGATCAAAATAGTAAAATTACGTTCGCTTACGATTTAGGTCGCGTATCTAGAAGAATATCGAGTTGATTTGAAAAAGTTGGCGAAAAGTATGGATGGATTATTGTTTCGAGCATCTCATGTAAACAAAACTAATACTATTTTGCTTATTATATCAACGGATTTCTGGGTGCCACAGTATTTAAATCAAAGTAAGTAGTTAAGGTATTTTTTCATTCATACATATATTCATATACGTACATTTTATACGGTTTTCACTCTGAGCTAGGTTATGTTCAAGCCACCAATAGGCAAAAATGTTTGCTGATTTTACGTTAAAAATAAAATAAATTCTCTCACTCCCACATCAGTAACTACAATACGTAGATTTCTAGAAAAGCTTTGTTAAAATAATTGACTCAGGGATTGGCGCATCGGGGTAAGCGTTAGGAATACACTTGCCATCACACTTCTGATAAACCTGCGTGGGTTATCAGGTTCGAATGCCGAGGAAGATAATTAGGTGCGAGAGGATTGCGATGGTCGGTTTCGGCTTCTTTCACCATAAAGTCCATGCATCTGAAACAAATAACTTGATAACTAAACTCTTGGACTGGCAACCGAACGAGAGGCCACGGTACTATTCAATATGATTATGTCGTATTTTCGACTTTCCTGTCCGCGGGATAAATATATAAAAATTCTATCATATAATAACTTTAAAACTCTATTCACGGTAACCCATATTTAAATATCATGTTTGGACTTGTTTTTTTAGCTAAGTTTTAATTTTATCAATTTTATAGAGCACTGCATAGAACACAACATGAACACTGCTATATGTGAACGTCCTATTTTATCTACGCAATGTGAATCCCCGTGCGTCAACGTCAAAGAAGCAATACGTGATTACGGAAAATGTACAAACAGCTTCAACTATACGTGGGAACGTCACCCTTCCTCATGTATTCCAGACAAATTCGTTGATGAACGTTTAGCAATCGTTGTAGAACAAGATGGCGGCTCGGGAGTACAGAACTTCGAAATTGCTTCGTTGAGTCCTTGTTTTGCCTACGACCAGTACTCTTCATACAGATTCCATACCGCGTCTGTACACTTGGGTGCAATCTTTGTGACTGCTATTTTGATTTCAATAGCAAATTGGATTCTGCGATTGCTGAACATGAATGGTGTCAGATAACGATTACGTATATCAAAATCGTTTTCTTGTTTTGTTTATTTTGTTGGTTAATGTTTCAGTAAAGAGAGAATAATTCATTTATTAAATCGTTCAGAAGTCGCATTGTCATCGAGTCTTAGAAATGGGAATTATTGCATCGTCAGGTCGTCGATACAATATTGACATTTTCATCGGCGTTTTGTGATTAGTATCGTCCTCGCAATCGTCATATTTCAGTATATTTTTTCATTGCCCATTATGAGAATTATTAGATAGTTTGAACTTCGCAGAACTTAATTTTAATGAATTGTACGCCTGTATCTTTCACAAAATTTGGAGCATCTAAAAAAAGTAATAAGATTAGCCAACAACAATAATATGATAAAAAAAGAGTAATTGTTAATAGGTTGGCTACCGTCTTGTTGAAAAATTAGAAAACGTTACGATTCGCGGTAATGAGTTTATATGCAGTTGACCGCATATGTGCCATTACAGCATTTACAACTACCGGTATATATATCTCCATAGCCTGAAGGAAGTCAGATTTAAACTCTAAGAATATACAACAGAAAACTATTTTTGATACGTGATGCTGTCCTTATTCTGAAAATTGATATTGCAAACGGGAAATATATTTCAAAACTGAAATACACAGTGGTAACTTTAGTATTTTTTTTTGCAATTTACAGGATTAACGCTTGACAATCAGTGAATAAAAGAGAAACTTACTACATACTAAATGTTGCTGGTTTTAATCTCTGCCCTCCACACGCATCAAATGTTATATGGCGATTTTAATATTGTGAATGATACTTACAGCAAGATAGCGTTGAAAATCAATGAGAATAACAAGGTTGCACCTAAAATAATTGTTGCAATCTGAAAGTGTGTAATCGGCGTACCTAAACTAGAGATGTACCGATACCACTTTTGTCGCCGATACCGATCCGATACCAGCTAAAAACGCCGATACCGATACGGCGATACTATAAGAAGGCCGATATTACCGATATTCCGATACCGATACTATGTAATTATTACTTAATTAGGGGTGCTGTGTAGGGCAGACGGGTTAAAACAATGGTCTTTGAGCGTTGTTCATAGTACACATTATTTCAGATCGAAAAAAAAAGATATATATGTCGCATAATATGAAATTAATGTTTGGAGTTTGCTTTAACTGATTAAGATACGTTGTACAGTAACGCTCGTAATCTCGGTGTTCAATTAGAAAACTCATAAGCCGGGGTGTCAAATTTGAATTTAATGTTAATATCGCGACCTTCGAATATCGTTATTCGTGTTTAAAAGAATATCGAATATCACGCACATATTCTAGCGCCGCCGTCCTACGTTCAAATTAAAAGCATTTTACAAATATTGTATTTCGTGGCTATTCGTAATCGTCGACGCAATAAGTCAAAGGCAACATGAATAAAGAATATCAATCAGCACCAACAAAAGGAAGGCCTACCTATAACCGTCGAGGAGTTT